ACATTTGAATTGTGTACTTTTTAAACGGTGTGTTCGACGAGCAGATTCATCTCGCGAACAAGATACGAAAATTAAAACGAATAACCGAAAGGGGGTTCTCTCCTCCCTTTTGCGCCAGCGTTTCGCTCGAAGCATCGAGACGAAGCGTTTTTCTATTTACTTATTTATGAGATTACAGAACGGTCGGTCCGACAAAAATGATTAAATGTAAATATGCGTTTTTTTTCTTCTTTTTTTTTTTTTATTCGTGCTTCAGCTTCGATTCATGCAGAGACAAGGAACCCGTGAACAAACCGGTAGATTGATCGTGTTCTATTCACAATTTTATCTACAATTTTCTTCTTTGCCATTTTTTTCACTTTCGCATAATTATTTTAATTGTAATTAAACTTCCACCTTTGTTTTTTTAAAAGGTCAGACACAGAAGTTTATAAAAAAATCATACGTTATATACATTAGATATTTTGTTAAACCTTCCTGATATGTCTATTATTTTATTAAACGTATATTTTCATCGATGCAAACGATACCCTGGGGGGATTGAGTTTAATTTTCTTTTTATTTCCATTTAACTTCGTTTTTCATTAGCTAAATGTTAGCCAATGAACATGGAATATGGTATAATCAACTGGATTGTAGTCGAACAATAAAAGTCAATGAATTATTTTATTCGTTAAGCGAATAAAATCTTCGAATTGGAAGCTACATCCGGAACAAATTTGTCTGTAAACACGAAGCTTAAAATAATTTGATTATCGTATTTGATTACGCGTGTTCAGTGTAGCAAATTTTAATAATGTAGAAACGTACAAAGAATAATGATAGAAAAAGTTCAATTTTGGTATTCGACGAGAAATTTTTATCACTTTTCTTTCTACAAATTTTAATTTTGAGTATAAGTAGAAGACTGAAATTAATCAGACTCAATTATTAGAAAAATTTATTATTTCCCGATAGACTTTTTTATTTTATTCTATCAGCAAACTGATTCCACCCTTATCAGGACGACAAATGGGTATGGGGTGGAGCAAATAGAGGATGGTTGTAATGGTGCACTGGAATACGGATTGAACCGGGTCTGAACGGTGATCTAGCCGTGTAAACAATGTCTGTTAATCGAAAAGGAGGGAGGTTCGAGGGAGATGTAATGGTATCAACGATCAAATGACTACTCATTGTCACGGGACGAGGGGGGAAAATTTATCTTTGCAATCAATCATTTCAAAGAATGCTTGAAACAATTACTTTTATAGTACAATATTCATTGCATTATATTTTGCGAATTGATCGATCGATTTTGCTTCTTATACGCAATAGATAATTACTGTAAAAAGTTCTCCACATGGAAAACATTCTTTTATTCTTACTCTCTTTTTTTCAAACACATTCGACCCTATTCACAATTGAAACTCCCAGGGCAGCCTGTACACTTACAGGCGTGCAGCAAGTAGATCATGCACAAAGGTATATATTAAAGCTCACGCGATGTGTACCCATACGTGGATAATCCATTATTTGCAGAACGAAAACGCAGTCATGGCTCGCGTCGAAATTCAACCGGGCCTCCTACCGTCTAATGCACACAGGAACGCGAGGGTTGTTGCAGGTAAAGGCATTAATTGGGATTAAGTAAATCAAGACGCTAATTAGCTCGCACGAAGAGCGCGCGCGCGGCCTTTCGGCCCGACGATGAGCCATCCACCCCTTCACCTCCCTCAACCCCCATCCCCTCCTGGTACCGTCAAAATGTTAACCCATCCCCCTGTTATACCCCAGACCGTCGTCGACGCGTTCAACTCTAACCGTAACCGTGTAACGAGCACCGTTTCCACCAGCATTTAATTTTCCTACCCATTTGCTATGGCTACTACGATTACAGACACGGATAACGTACCCTGTCCATTTATTTATGCAACATCATTAGCGACGCCACTTCAACCACGTTCAAAAGACAGACACGTTTACACTGAGCCTATTGGGCGACAGATTAGCTTTGAAAAGGGTGATCCGTTCCATACCCACTTTCAATCGGTAGTTTTTGTCAATCATTCGATCAACGATCAATCTTGTTTCACGTGAATTTCGTTCTTTTCGAATGACTCGGTATTGACGAACCAAATGAAAAATCGTTATCAATTCACACTCGATATCGATCATTAAATTACATTTTTTATTATAATGTAATCATAGTCTAACGGGACCAAATGGTTTCATGAATTTCATCAGAATCTTAGCGGCGGTAAGTTTGATGAATTTGCCGATATTACTCGGTAACCGATTTAAATTAGAGGAAGAAGGGTAGATAGCACCGTATGGGTCGATGAAACGCAAAGAAAGAATAAGTGAATTTCTGAACAGGTGAGTATTTATTTCATTACAAGAGAGAGAGAAAGAGAGAGGGAACGAAACCGCAGAGAGCCCGTACGGATCCTGGTAATATCGCGAAAAGTGTTTGCTCAGCTTGTCTCGACCGAGCTCGGAGCATTAAACCGCGGGCGTTCTTTCGTCTCCCCGGGATCCGGGGAACGATACCGACCTCTTCAATGTGTACATTTCTACTCCCGATTATACGTTGCAAGCCCGAAGGGCTATTTCCTTTCCTTTCCACCGCAGTAAATTTCGATTTTGCCGATTGAAAACTCCGATCATCGCATCGACATTGTTCCCCCCCTACCGTCTAGCGTGACAATTTTCATTAATAAACGAATTCGTTACCGAAACGCAAATTCTAGAAGTATATTTTAGATCAATAAATAAAGATTTTATAAATGTATCCCCAATAAAAAGATGTCAAGTTCATAAACTGGAATAATTGTCTAATTATACTTTTCTAAAAGTAAATAGAAGAGAATGGAAAAGCTGATATAACAGATGGAGATTGGAGGATCCAATCGGTACTATATCCGGCTAATCGTCGCTGTTATTGCCAACAACGACGGCAATGATACTAATAGCTATGCAAACGACGATTATGGTAGTAGTTGTTGCTTTTCGATTGCGATGCAAAGGGATAAAGGGGCCGAATGGAAGAGGAAACGAAAGGATAGGGGAGGCAACCGGGTTCTGTTAACTCCGGTTTGAAGCTTCGCTCTCTTGGGAAATGTGCGTAATCGCTATGTCCCATTCTAAATTGGTGGCGACGCATTCTTGCTCGCAACCGCGTCCGTTTCGTGGCATCCATGACCCACGATTAACTTGAACAACCGAATCCATTATTTATCTCAATTCTTTCCACTCATCGTTGAAATTTACCTTTCGTCGCGGCTAATATCCCGCATTGATTAGCGTTAATTACCAGTAACCCCCCCTAAAAAATGAAAACGATATTCTTAGAAAGGATTCAATTGTTTTTCTTATATAATACCATTTTGCATCCGAGAAAACTTAATTTCATATTATTGTCCTCGATCGAATACTTTTTGCCGGAAGCAGTATTGGTGAGAGGAAGGGGCTACCAGGTGGACGGTTTGGTACATAGGTTATGGTCTCTACTATGGAAAGAGAAGGAAGGAGTAAGATAGTGGGCTCATTGATAGAAGGGTAGCCGAGGGTCGAAAAGCGAAGAGAGCGAGCAAACGAGCGACCTGCACGTATACGGGCCACCAGGCGGAATAAAGTGGAATTCAGCGCAACCTGAATTATAAACGATATTATGCAAACACCGTGGAGAAAGAGTACTCGTACCGCGAGTTAATTTGATGAAAAACATCAGAGAGCAGGGAGACCGAGGAGAACAGGAGGGCTTGAAGAGCGAGAGGGGGACCGGCAAAAGACGCATCCCGAAAAGACCGTTCTCGAGGTGAACAGGAGCCTCTTCATCCACGGTCGGCTTTTGCACCTGAAGACACTCTAATCACCCATAGGTCTACCGAATCAAACTTTCTTCTTTTCTTTTCTTTTTTTCTCTCCATCCACCGCGACAATTCATTCGAGGAAGGAACGGGGATGGATTCTAACAAAAGACTCTAACTTTGATTTCACTTTGATTCCTAATGATAGGAATTAAAAAGCATAATAATTCCAAAAGCGTCAGAAACATACTAATAATGCAGCGTATCAATCTACAAGCTCGGTGGTAATTCGATCTAATCTATCAGGTTGCTTTAAATCAAACAACGGGAACAAAATCAGAATTGTGTATTTAACGCAAGCAATTCACAGTTCCCTTTTTTAAATAAACAGATGTGAGAGTAGCGTGATTAAATTGATTAACCGTGATTAAGCGTAAATAACTAACTGATACACAAACGAATTATTGACAAATCTATCGCGTTCGTGAAATTCGATGTATTTCGTTGTTAAACAATTTAATTAAATCATTAACGATTCCCTTTTGTCCATCGATCAAGGAACAAAAGCAATGAACGAAAAAGAAAAAAAAAAGAAAAAATTGCCACGGATAAATCTCAATATTTTTGCCAACAACGTATAACAACTTTTTTTCCTATCGTTTCATTTTTTCCCATCGATGCAAATAGAATAGATAGCCGCGAATGCAACTCGGGTAAAGGAAAGAATAACTGGAGGGGTGGTTACGCGCGGAAGACGAAGAAAGCGACGGCTACAATCCTCTACACGGTAAACATACCAGGCGCACGTGCAGCCCTGCCGTAATTGAGCTAGCACCACCAATCTGCACTCGTTGGAGGCGGTTCTTCGTTGGTCGGGGGTTGGAGTATGCTGCACAGGGACTGGCTGATAGCAGCCGTCTGGAGGAGGAAAGTAAAGGGTGGTAGATGTACCGTTGGAAAAAGCTTGTGCCTGGTGATAACCGGCGGTGGTGAGGACGTAGACGAAAGGCCAGAACCGTCCTCCTGGCGTTCAAATCACGAGCAATCGCGACGCTCGATGGTCAGCCGATTAGAAATGGTACCCATGGTGATTGGTATCTAAATTCGTACCAATTTTAACGTGTTGTGCTGATTCGTTAGTGAAAGGATATCGTTTAGTGACAACTTTTGTGTGAACACGTGTCTAACGATGCAAAAACGTAGAAACTAAAGGAACAGATCTCTTTCGGACGATGTACAGTTTATACAGAGCTTGGTTCGGCGACAGCGTTAACGCGGACAATTACTCGCGAATTCAGGAGACTCTGTCACCGCCAGACACGGTGGTCAGGGTTGGCAATGAAGGAGAACATCAGTTCATCGCTCATAAAGGGGTTCTAGCCGCGCATAGTGGTTATTTGAAAGCACTGTTAACTAATGCTACTAATACACCTAGCACCGTTGCTAGCTCCTGTTCGAATTTACCAGCGACCGCCATCGCGGTCACCGCCACCAATCTTTCGGAACAATCTATGCGACAACCGGTCACCTCTGTGTCCGTTTCGTCCATTGGTAAATATTCTTTGGTTATCTGTAGGTGAGATATTTGGACATCGTTTGATCTAATCGGTTCGCTCATTTGCAAGCAATCATAAAATTTCGCAGTTTCATTATCGTGACACCATTTAATTCTTTCAAGATTACCGAGTGTATTTTTGTTCCAAGTATTATTGGTATACCTGTCATTTCAACCGTGATAAAAAAAATGTTTTGATTTTATTCTTAAAATAAATATTAAAAGACGTACTGAAATATGATTGATTAAGAATCAATAAATCAAAATATATAACCGAATGTTTGCTTCAAAATCCGTATTAGTTTTTGTGAACATAACAAGCAACTGTTAATGAGAAATGATTCAGTGTAAAAACCTTCATAGTGTGATTGTTATTCCTACAGAAAAACAAAAAACATAGTTTTCATACTTTAATTATTTCACCACTCACTGTAATTGACTCACGTTCATTCTTCAACTATTTGGCCATATTTATTCTTACGATAGGAATATTTTCAGGGGGAGAAGCATTCGCACCATTACTGAACTACATGTACACAGGCCGATTGGAAGTGACCTTAGACAACGTGTACAGTGTATTGCTAGCGACCCATTTATTGCACATGCCAGGAGCGTTGGAACAATGTCGAGCAGCATTGCTCAGACTGAGGGCTCCACCGCCTCTACCGACGCCGATGTTGGTGCCAACAGGGCCTACATCGACGTTGACATCGACGTCCATGTCGACGTCGACAGGCTCTGGGAACATATTAAGGCCGATACCTAACAGACTGATGATAGATCCTAGCATGTGCTGGCCACCAGCTACACCGTTGTATCCGCCAACCGCACCCGCACCCGCGGGCATACCGCATATGCCTCAATTACAACCATCAGTACTGATGCAATCAACTGTTCCCATCACGGTGGTGCCCACATCCAGTGTGCAAGAAACACAAAGCTATAGGTTTGTTTGCTAAGGTTTCCATGACCTAGTTTGATCGTAATCAACTTGGTACCAAATACCAAGAAAACTAAATCCAAGAAAAGAGAAGAAAGAGTGTTCCTTCCACCTTGCCTACTTAACTCCATAAGATAAGCGAATAATACCGTCCCATCTTTTTGAATACAGGGAAGTACCATCGCCAAAGTCCTCTCTGTTCCAAATGGAGCGGAACCGTGGATTGAGGATGGACAACCGAGCAAAATCCCCGGAAACTACAACGTCTACCTCCCTGCCACTCGTGGCAGCAGCCGCAGCTGCGTTCACCGCGTTCACCACATCGAACGCGGCTACTTCTACAAGGACATCGTCACCGTCGCAGTCAATCTCACCAACGCTGTCCTCGGAGTCTCAATCCCCGCTGCCGGTTTGCCAGAGCAAGACGTCGGAGCAGAGGCAAATTAAAGAGGAGACCGAGTATGAACAGAGGAATTCGAATGGGGGACAGACGCAAACTCGGTCATCGCCGGTCACTTCTGTGGAGGAGACGAGTTCCACTCGAGACAGAAGCGTGGAATCTGGTGAAAACGATCGGCAAAGATCGTCCAGAAGAAGAGGACGAGGATCGACCAGCAGAAACGATGGTACCTCCAGTGGAGTGCTGTCGGTCGTCTACGACGTCGCCTGCTGCGACGGTCCAGTGAAATTCCATCGCGTGTTAAACAAAAATTACTCGTCATCGGGATCTAATCCCGCGCTACAACCTCGTTTACAGAGATCCTGCTTCGAACCGGAAAACGTTTCCACGGAGAACGACGAGAACGGTGGACCTGCAGAGGTCAGACCTTGCGACCCAATTAGATCCGACATCGATACCGCGAACACTAGCGGAAGCTACACTTGTGGATACTGCAGACACACCTTCAAGTCCCAGTATTGTTATAGGAAACACACGAAGAGACACTTGTTACCCACCAGGGTGAACGAAACCGTGGTCAACAGACCCAGGCAAGACACTGCGCGTAGCAGAAGGGAAGTGAGGCTGCTTGATTTGAACGTTCAGTACTATCCCTGCAAGATCTGTGGCTGTAAGTTTCCTAGCTACTATTTCGTACACAAACATCGGAAGTTGTGTCATGCGAACGCGGAGGAGAGGCCTCAAGAGGAAGCCAGCACTGCTGCGGAGGATTTGGCGTCGACCACCTCCAGCAACGAGAGACAGTGAAAGAAGGCAGGTTAAATAATATAATATCGTTATATCATTTGATATAAAAGAGGAGAAATTAATTTTTCTTTTTCATATTGTTTCAGTGGTTTTTGAAGATGAAGAGATCCATAGGAATGTTTAAAGTGATCAAAATCCTGCTTAATACACCTTTGGATTAGAACAAGAATCTTCTTGACAACGGGAAAAAAATTAAAGATTCATTAAATAGTTTAATCAATGAATTACTTGGAAATTATGAAGTTACTGTAAAATTGAAATAATTAAAGAAATGTAATTACAATAAGAAAAGAGTTTTTCTAATTGTAGCTTACCACCCTAATTATGGAAAAAATTAAAAATTTATTCAATAGTTTAATCGGTGAATTATTTGCCAAGTGTTATACTGCGAAAAAATAAGTAACACCTCCGAAGTTTATTTACAATAGTTCGGATTTTATTCTGAAATTTATCATTTATTCTTGATTTCTATTATATTATTAGTATTTTGAGCAAAATCTGGATTTTCAATTTTATTGCAAAATAAGCCAAGCTAAGAAAAGAAATCTGTAGAGGAGTTTGAATTTGAAAACTATCATCTTACCGCTATAATAATATTATATGTCTATGATTTTAATTCACATTCAAATGATTAAGTAAAATTATTAACTTTGAAATTTAAAGTGTGTTCACTGTTACTGTTTCAAAAATAAAAATAGCTTATCTCGAAAATATGCAGAGATTAAATATTAGACCTTTCAGTTTATATTTAAATACAAATAGAGCGAGTTGACAGAGTTATAATAAAAATGAAAAGGGAAAGATTGCTAGAGCAAACGTGCGAGACAAATTTTATCAGACTTACCGATGGTGTCTATGGATTGGGCTTCCTCGTCGCTGGTCTCCATAGGAGTGGCATGATTATCCTTTTTCTTCTCCTTGATCCGACTCGCATTTCCAATAGTTCCGGATCCGCCGCTGTTTGCCTCCCTGCAACCCGTTTTCTTTTTGTTAGAATCTTTCAAATCTGACTGTAATGTCGAAGCGTTTACGCTCAATGACGACGACGACGACGACGTGCTCTTTCCGTCGATTCTACAACACAACGAGCAAACAGAAGGATCTGTTAGCTGCGTGAACCAAACGGTTTGAGCTTCTTGTCGAAAACTATATTCTAAGTTTGTTTCTTCTAACAATGAATGTAAATGGATGAAAAATTATACGTAGTATCACTATAGATACTTTAATATTCTTTCCCATATTTTCAGATGAATATTAATGTAATTATAAGAATGAATAAAACATTCTACATATTGTTTCTAAAATAAACGAAGAGAGGCAACGTCCCGATTTTCCCGTAGCTTGGAATCAGATTTTCAACGATCGACTCAATTTCGATGATGAATGCCTACGTAAACATAATCCACTAACCAGTAACCATTGATTAGCATTACAATCTGCTAATAACTACCCTTGCCATCCCTCTCGAACCATCCCCCATTTTACCACAGCGTTCTATTTCTCCCCACCTTCCTGTCTTCCTCTACCCCCACCATCAGCCGCCATCCACCCTTCGTTCCACCAATTTTATTATTTTATCTTCCCTGATACTTTTCACATAATAATTTTTGTTATAATTTTCATCTTCGTCGGTGATACTGAAATGATTATTATACAAGAAGAAAAAATAAATAGTCACCCTGATTGTAAGCGAAAATTAGCATCTTAATTAAAGGTTCGATATTCTCGACTTTTAATTATTATTATTGTTATATTTTGATATAACAATTAATTCGGTGTCTTTTCCATTTTAATTAAAAATTTGATCATTCTAATTTCATTTTTTTCTTTTTTAATTAAAAAGTTCAAGGGAAAATTGATTACAGTCTATATGAAATCAGAACTGAGATTTTACCATCATGTGGTAACGCTTACGAAAAGCTATTAACTGATGGTATAATGGAAGGAGAGACCAAGTTTAATTCAGATAAAGAGCCAAAAAATCCTAGTTTAAGAAAAAACTTTCCCATTCAGGAAAGCAGTGTGATGGTTTAAAAGATTCGATTCTTTTTATTACTGCTTTTCAATAAACCAAGTCTCAAAAATAGCCTTCTTTCTTAGCTGATTCTTAACTAATTTCCTCCTTATTTGTGTAAAAATGATGAAAGAACACAATACGTACATTACTTTGACGTCCTTGCCCGCCACTGTTTCCGAATTCAACCACTGTGGTTCTTCTTTTACTTCCACTTTGACGAGGTGCTGTTCTTTAGATTCCGATTTAGTTTCTTTATTTTCTTTGTTAGTTTCTCTATTGTCCTTCGCACTTGTCGTCGCCGAAGTCGACGAGGTTGTAACACACGTGGTGATACTTGGTACAGACGTCGTTGTAGCCGATGTCGTTGATGCTATTACAGACTCTGTACTTATACATATACTCGACGTAGGTGTACTTAACGCAGTGGCTGCAGTAGTAACTATCGTCGTTGCAGCTGGTGTAGACACACTCGACGTAGTTGTAGTCGTGGTAGTGGTTGTGGTCGTTGTCGCTGCCGAATTACTTTGAGGATTCTCTTGAGTTTTTTGTTGCTGCTCACGTTGCAACCTTGTCGTAACACCCGTACTTAATATGTCTATAGGTCCAATACTAGGAGGGAGATTATTTTTTTCCTGAAAAGAGAATAAATATATAATATCGGAGGAATATGAATTAATTTGGTTACTATACTTTTTTCCAAATACAACGCGAACTTACTTTATTACTAGGATTATTCCGAGAGCTACGTGTTCGTTGCCGCGATTTTCGCAAGAGCTGCTTATAATTTTCTGCTTTTTTAGTGAGGTAGTAATGATGCACACAATCTGGAACGGACTTATGTTCTAAAGATTGAGCTATCGTTCCAAAGTTCTTAGGATGCTGCAAATATTTTTCCTTAAACAATTCATGCTCCACAGCACTCCATACGTTTATTAATTTTCGTTCGCTGTGAAGAGCTTCTAATTCTTCTGGCTGAAGAAGACCATTCCGATTTTGAAATGCGATTCTTCTTTGCTTTGTATCCAACAACAAAGGTGGTATCACCGCGTACGACCGCATCTTCTTATCTTCCATCTGTAAAAATCATTTTACAAAAATCAATACAGCTATCATAGAAATAATTATGTAAGATAATAATAATGTAAGATGATAATTGTACCTCTTGCTCTTGAAGGCCGTCCATAATTTCCTCTAGATCAGCTTCACTTTTAATTCGAGCACCGACTCTATTAAAACGTTCTTTGTCTTCCCTTTGCTTCCGCAATTCTGGGAAAACCTTCTCGAAAAATTCACGATTCTTCGCTTCTTTCGATTTCCTTTTCTGCGTTGCTTCTAACCGCTCCACTTTACGATGCCACTCCTGTACCAAAATAGCGTACGTTTGTGACTGTTGTCGATGAAGAGATGCGCGTTCCGCATGTTCTCGTCGAAGCCTCGCTATAAGCCTTGCTCTCATACACGTCTGATGTTTTGTACGATTTTCCTGATATACACTTGTATCTGATGGCTGATTATACAAAGGTAGTTCCACTTTTGGACCCAGCCTTTCTAGGAGTCGATGAGCTTCTTCTGCTTTTCTCTATAATTAAAATTATATTATCATTAATTTTTGTTCAGGTAACATCCTTGATTTTGATAAGGAATTGTATAGAATATAGCTTTAACCTTCTCCATTTTCAGCCCTTACCCTATTTTCAGCATAAATTTTTTGTGCCAGAGACTGATGCTTTGGTTGCTGAGATTGTTCCTCAACCTGACGTTTGAGCCCATTAGCTTCTAGAGGTTTATTCGCTGTTTCTTCTAATTCCTTTAACTTTTTCCTAAGTTTATTTATCTGTGATTCCCTTTTGGCAATCTCTCTGTCGACCTTGGCGATCTGTTGCAGCAGATCATCCTTGGTGCTTCTGAACTGCGCATCTTCCTGTGTATTCGGTTCCGGAAGTGTTGGTGAAATAGCTTCTGTTTGCGGCGTATACGCTCCTGTAGTCGGCTGCTCCTAGCAAACACTTTCCATATAATATCATCCTGAATTAATGTATCCTAATCTCTAATAAAACGCATCTAACGCATCTTCATAATTTAAAGAATAACATTAAAATCCCTTATTCATCCTACACTCTATATATAGACGCGTACATATTACCCACCCTAGTGTCTATCCTAAGTGGTTGCTGCAACTGCACCACGTGCTCTTGTTTTACACAGGGGTCGGCAGGTGACAAACTCTGACAGCGAGATTGCGATTGGGACTGTGATTGAACTTGGGTTGGTTGACCGAGGCGTATTTTTTTGAAGGGCGGCGCCTCCTGCAGGTTAGCCATCTCAATGGCCGTACGACTGCAATACTGATCCGGTTGGACGGGCATCAGGCCTATTCGTGAATTTCTTACACTGGACACGTGCTGATAGTCTGGCGCTGTTGGCGAAGGTGTCGGCGTCACCGAAGCAGGTGGTAAAAGAGATATCCTCGGTCTATCCCCCCTTCCACCAGCCATCGCACTACCTATACCGCTATTTGCCGCATATTCGGCTGTAACTACTCCAACACCGACTCCAATCTGTGATAAAGGACTACTGCTCACGCTAATAGCGATCCTTTCGTTCACCTGAAACAAAAAGAAGGAAAACGCGCTTCAATAAAAATTCATCCCCTCTATCAACTCTCTCTTTCATCTTACGTTCTTTTCGCACGCGTTTTATTCAATTTATCTTGCCTAACCTTCTCGGCGCGAACCTATTTCAAGAAAATCGATGACCCGGTTCAAGAGGGCAGACGGTATACTATCAATATACCTACAACACCGTCATACGTTCCTTGCACTCTTATTGTGTCTAAGCTCAGCCATTATTCTCTTTCCCTCTTTCTTTCGTCGCTTTCTACTATTCATCCAGCTTACACCATCTATGACCGTAATCTTACACACGCATACACATAAACAGATAACGTTTCGAACAAGTTCGAATCACTGATTTAAAGAGTTGTAAAATGAAAAAATAAATAAATAAAAACAAAATGTTGATTAAGTAAAGGAAGAAAGGAAGGAAGGAAGGAAGGAAGGAAATAGGCTGATTTATTATTTCAATAGTTTATTGAATAATGAAAGATGCTCGATGAGAAAAATCCAGTGTTATGTCACTGACCTCGTAAATACGTTACTATGCATTTTCTCCTACTAATAGATATCTTATAAAATTCCGTATGCACTGATAATTACGATCGTACTATCAAACAAAAGAAAATCGAATTTTATAAAATCAAATATTAACTTAAGATTTCGTTTCAAAATAAGATAATATTTCATTGTGTAATTATTTGATCGACGATATCGTAACACGTGACTCTCCGATAAAATTCAAAAGCATTCAAATAAAAAGACTTTCGCGTACGCTGATAAAAAAAAGAATCCATCTTAAAATTCATCTGGTTTGAAATTCGTGCCAGGATTAATTCAAATCGACGCAATGTTTGTAACAAAGGAGATAGGTTATATTGTTAGTCAGAGGGGGGAAAAGGGGGAGGGCTTAATAGTGAGTGAAAGTCAAGGGCAGACTCGAGGTAATACATACATACACTAGTTTCGTGTAACGCGGTTCCAACATATTCAATCAGACACAGAAGATTATTCTGTTCAACACAAACTCCTTGATGTTTGTAAACATAACCAAAAACACCTATTAACCCCACTTTCTCGAATCACTTTCAATCTGATGCACAGTTTTAACGTACACGCACCGAGGAACGAGAAAATCGAGGGGGATACATTTATCATGGGATTATTAGCTCGAACCATAATAAATGATTCGAAGATGAAAATACCTACATTGGTGGTGGCGCTGCGATATGCATCTCTCGCGGTATAAGCAGTTCCCGAAAGCGATGGTGGTGGCGTCTGACTAACTGTAGGTGGATTCGCAGGTGCGGCCGCAGGTGCTGGTACTGGAGTCGGTGCCGACGAAGCCGATGTGACCACCGTTGCTACAGCTGGCACCGACGCCGATGTTGGTGTCGGTGGATACGGATGAATATAACGTAAACCACCGGCCATGGGTACGGCAACGTAACCTCCTGGTGCGCCACTCACTGTACCACTGTTCCCGCCACTATTACTCCCTGCACCGGCGGCACTGTTACTGGTACCGCTGCTATTTCCACTTCCGGCTGCACCTACGTTCCCTACAGCACCACCAGCACCAGATCCAGCCCCAACGACTCCGGTTCCGCTGTTTGCGCCACTCGCGTTGCTAACACCAACACCGCCGCCACTACCGCCACCGCCACCGCCTCCGCCGATTGAAGGACCTCCAGCAGTTCCACTCCCAACTGTCCCCGCTGCTGCCGCCGCAGAAGATGCAGCTGCACCACCCTGGACATACGTAACTGCTGTTCCTACCGTTCTTGGAGACACCGGACTGCTGCTCTTGATGTTTACGTAATTCTGTGTTGGCCTGTAAACATTACAATTATCCGTTATAAATCTCAGAGTATTAACGTATTTGTTGTTGTTGTCTTTTTTTTCTTTTTTTTTTTTTGGGAGGGGGAATGTAAATCGTGAGTGCGAAGATTGCTGAGAAACAAATTTTCCGAGAAGAATACATGAGAAGTGCAAGTGCATTGTGCACACAACGCGTCTGAAATGTGTTAACGACTCGAATTTACTTGAACGTAAATTAACGCGAATATACGAAAGAATCATACACTTGTATGAAATTGTAAAATTCGCTCCAACTAGGTTTCTTGATATTTTTGGTTCTTGGATCTTGGTATTTTTAATGAAACTTAAATACAAATGTAACTACAAATAGCATTTGTGCTTTTAATATAAGTCCACGCAACCGTAATTTTCATTGAAATTTATTTATGTATTCATAATTTGGTCCATTGCGTATAAACATTCAAATATAAATAGTAATGAATCTTATAAATAAATTAGTATAGATATATTGAATACTACTGAACCTAACCAAGAAATGTACGGAGAATCGTTTTGAAAAACTTCTATGTAAAAATTTTGATTTGAATAAAAAAGTAAATTTGATGATGGTTCAACTAACCAATCGTGACATGCAGCAAAAATATGCTTCGCGTGAAATCTACCATTTAGTTATTGTATATACGTATACATATGTATGGCTGAATAGTAGATACACGACCTTTCGGCGGTAGTTTGTCACATGTGGCAAAATACGGCACGCATGCGTCGTAGGCTATAACGATATGCGGTGTCGCAGTATTCCACAGATCATGGTTCCGCGTGCCGGTGCATCGGTACCTATTCTGTGTAGAATGATTGCGCATGCGTTGAACATCACAAAGGGTGAATGTGCCTGTCTGCTTTCGTAAGGCGACGTTGCTAACGCGGCGTTGCCAGATTGCTAAAATACAAGGAGATTTACCGAGCGTTTCTGGCATTATTTGCTGGCGAATTATACCGAAGGATTAATCGGTGTTGGCTAGTATTTCATTTTTTAACTCAGCTCATTTAATTTTATGTATTACTTCTGAAGAACAAAGAATACATATTTCTAAATTACAGGCAATTATGCTAATTCATATTGTATGTACACGTCCAAATTACCAAACTACATTCTTTTGTAAATTAATGTTTTTTTTTATTACATATAAGATATCGTACACGAATTAAGGTTAATATAAAAAACAGATCTTATGGTTAATGTAGGAAGCTCTAGCGTACAATTCCGAATACAAGAACATTTTAGATTTACTTGGAAACATACTTTGGACTATATCCAAAAGGTACAAATAAATCATTTGGTGCTGATAGTACTGTTCTTTCGATACTTTATTCAAAATGTTTAACATCACTGCTGGCATTAAAGATATTTAAATAAGGTAAAAAAAGATTGAGGTTAGAAACCTATAATCTATAATATTTTAGAGTTTATACACATTCAGATTCCTTTTTAACAATGTTAGTGATTTTCAATTAACTTTTCCTAAGAAATATTATTAAGACGGTACTGAATCGAAGGATTAACAGAAAATGGACTCTGTGCGGTGAATACGAACACCGGCATACTTATTAATAGCACCGACCGTATGCTGTGGGATCTTACCGACAAATTATCAAACAATCGATTTTCTTGCATTTGAATCCGTAAACATAATTGTTTGGCCGCTTTATGAATTTCCCTAGACTATGAGTTCTCGATGATGTAACGGTCACTGACCCCCTCCTCCCACTTCTAAAATCTCCCTACCATGTATCACCTACTGTTTTTCCCTTTTATGAATGATGCGCATGCGATAGAACGTTATGTATAGAACAAAATACGCATTCGATGATGATAAATTTGGCACGTTTCTAAGGGTGAGAGTCAAACTGTTCATTAGAACGTATAAAATCACTTTGGAACTTCGAAACACTGATAAAAACATAATTATGTAAAGTTATAACAACTGTGTTAATATTTGGCAGGATATTCAAATTTTCAAATTACTGAATCATAACATTTGTTATTTGAACAACATTCTTACAAAATCTATGATTTATTCAATAATTTTAAGCAAGGTACATTATTAGATAATTGAGTGTTATGCGCAGAAATGTACTTTTTTTTGTTCTCGTCCAAAAGAGAACTGCAGGAAATAGAAATCAGCGTAGCCTTGAGCCCCTTCCATCAATTCTAGTTTTCTTTATCGCCTCCGTTAACGTCTCTAAGTCTTTCTTCACTTATTTACTCTTTCAGCAATATGTTCAAATACTTGTAGGTAGACAAACTATGTATATTTTTCACAAAATTTATGTAACCAAATTTCTGAAAATCCGTAAATTTTACATAAATTCATAGTTACACACGCACATACACACGAGCACTTTCATTCAAAGGTAAAAAGTTATGCATTTTCGCCATTACTGCCATCTTTTATGCCCCTCCGCTCGACCTACTGTTAGCTTTCTCTTTCCCCGTTCAAAGGTTTTTATACTTATTCTCATTTTTCACCAATTCAAACATGAATCAGCAATTCAACATTCATAAATGAATGTGAACAAAGCTTTGTAATCGAAATTATAACTAATGTTATAATTCACTTGTAAAGTTATATTATTTTAACAGAAAATTTAAATTGGGCATCATTTGAGCAACGAATTGCGTGAATCGTTTTTTTTTTTTTTTTTATTTTATACTATCCCCACTTTTTGTAATGTATTTACTTGACGATCGAATTTATAATCCGTGGCGTATATATACATGTATACATATAACGACATTGTGTTCCTTCTCGCTGCTTGGTTCATTTGTGCAGTCTTCAAGTCGTACCTAACCTAACTATCTTTCCCGCGTTTTACACGTTATTTAATGTTATGTTTTGATCAGTGGGGTGGATATGATACTTTGAATTCGAGAAACGTGAATTAAGGTCTGTTAACAGAATTTCGTACAGTGGGTTGTAAAGAATCAAATTACACCGCGTAACGATAAAAAATAAAAGTTTTGCGTCAGAATAGAATGATAAGTAACTATATAAATAATACTGTTTTATATTTTTTTTTCGTTTTTTTTACATAGTTCCTTAAATAATCGTTAAGAATATATATATATTGTTTACATAAATACAAATAATCCTTTGTTACAAATATTGAGCACCCATGAAACACCAAAATTCAGACATACAAAGAGGATAATAAAAGGATTTGGTGTATAAATGAAGAAGAACGAACGACGCAACAGAAATAACTGAGTGGACTTACTTCATCATGCAAACGGACAATCTTGGAGTTTCAAAGAAATCTTTCCTTTTCTGCATACATTTTCTATTCTCACATCTGGTATACCGTATTTAGAAAGAATCACAATTTTACCTTAACATTTCCGTTAAAATACACTACACAAATGTTCACATATATACTTGAATAAACTATTAATCTTAAATGTAAACCTTCGTGAGGTTAAAAATCAACGTTGCACGTTGACGTTTGAGGTTAGAATCGACAGGTAGCAGTAGTGGTAAAATTGGAAGCACGCATGCGCAGAACACCGTACGGTATATTACGTATCCAACTTCAATCTTGTCCGCGCCGCGTATTTCAAGTTTCGATAGTGCAAGCATGTATGTACAGTTCATTGCAAACAAATATTTCTATAGTTCCTCAATCACCTAATTAGCTTAATCGATTAAAATATAACAAAATAATAACTATTTTATATGAATAAAACTATTATAAAGTACATACAAATTTTGTTTATTCAATGAACTTCTTTTCTGATAAACCATTGTCGCGGCAATCGAAAGAAGTTAACCAACAATTATCGCTAATTGTAAATATACCCATTCAAGGATAATCGTGGGTTATGCACAATCAACGTAGATAACGATGTGTAGTAAAGCTCATCAAACTTGTAAAGCTTGGAATTAAATGCGTCTATGTTCTAAGAAATCTGGAGACAATGTTCTAGGAAATATGCCAATATAATGTTTGTTGATTAATCCCCCCAAAGATAGAAGTAATTATAGCGAATTGTACCAGTATGATCCAGTACAAGGGGTCAAAATGACCCGGCATTTGGCGTGCGAAGGTTAATTATATCGTACGCGGCATAAAGCCGCGCAACGTGAGGCCATGTCAACACACTCACACATACGTGTATGAACTTACCTGTGCAGCTGTACTGGAGTAGATCTCGCGGGTAAATGCTGGTTATGCGAGACCGGTGGTTGCGTCTGACCCCTGCCAGGGGTCGACGTTACGCCGACCAGTGAGTGGCCATGGGTCCCATGAGGATGACCGTGGGGGTGGGCGTGTGGGTGTGGAGGATGGGAGTGGGGGTGAGGATGATGATGGTGATGCAAATCTCCCCCCACTGGACCCACAGGGCCCACTGGACCCCCCACCCCCAGTCCGCTCACTACCTGGACTTGCTTGCCCACTGTCTCCATCACCCCTAGCGCATTGTGTACTGAAACAAGTCCCAGAAAAATTCCTTTGAAGTTTCACGTTCAACTCTGCTTTTGGTTCGTGGTCGTCGATTAACTTTCGCAAATATACCGATAGTTTGAGCGACGGACGATTCATCCGGATAAGGATTTTCAACCGACAAGGACAGAGCATGATCTTTGGAACAACCTTGAAAAAAATCAACAAAAAAGAGAACGGGGTCAATTAAAGGCGACGATTGAAACAGTAGACTAAAAACTTCGATTAACAATAGAGTTGTAAAACTTCGAGTAATTCGAATGAAGAAGTAAGAAATAAGCATTTTCTCCGGAACTGGGCCAAGCTATTTCAAGGTCATCTCTACCCTTTTTAAATTTTAAAAAAATTGTAGAAAAATAAATATTTTACTGAATACCCTGTGTATGATAAGTCATCCAATCAATAAGAGAAATTGCGTTGATAATGTCCAGCGTGGCTGATATTTTAAGAATTCAAACGTCAAATCAATCAACATAAAAATTCCTGTTTTTTCAGAGATTTAACGAGGCAATTATTCATTATGATGATGCGTCGTGTATAGATGCTTAAAGTTGTGCAAATAATTGATAGCAGCAATCAGGAACAATGCGTATACGTTTGATGAAATAAATGAAAATCAGTGTTAACGCGTGATGATCGCGGTACGTCATCCTTAAAAAGAAGGAAAAAGTTTACAAGGACGTCAACGGTAGGCATCATCAAAGTAACGGTACTGTAATGACTCTCAGCCGGATGAAAACAGTCTAACAGCGGAATGATCAAAAACCCGTCTACATGATTTTTGATTTTACGTTACAAATATTAATCAGACGCTTAACAATTTAAGTAAAGCTAGGTCATCTGGCCGACATCGAAACAAAATTCTCAGTTATCTCAATGTTAGAAGGTTAACATACTCGAAATACAAGGCTGGAGCGAGGTAGCTTGTATAGTGGAGACTACTATAAATTAAAACTAGTTTGTACTGGTACAGTAAATGGTAGAGTAAGTATCTTAAGACGAGCAGGAAAACTACGTTTACTATACTCAAATCTATTTTACGTTGCTAAAATAAATATAAGAGTGACTACAAACTTTGTTTATTATACTTAAGCTTAATTCACACTGGTAGGGACTTTACAGACGTGTAAATCAAACATTACCGTTACTTGGGAATATTTGTGACCGAATGTAAACAGTAAACAAAATGTAATCGTATTTATCTATTATTGAACGTCAAACAAGTGTTTAAAGTGCATTATCTCCCACAACGCAATGTCCCACACTTTTTATTAAATTTCAATAACAAACTGGTCCCAAAAGGTAAACACTGCCCTGCATCATTAAATTATACGATGTAATTTAATATGATCCTAGCGACCGAAATACTAAATACCCTATATTAATATTCGCACCTTTATATCAATAATAATCTTTATCCGAACGGATAATATAAATTTACCGCGCTATGTTCAACAAGTGAACTTAGTAACTGTAAACAAATCCGCGTAACAGTATTTAAGCAGGACAGGTGTGTTCGATCCTGAAATGTTTTCCGTTTGAAGTAGGCGTACTTGAAATTGACTTTTCTAAATTTTACACCATTTGGGCGCACTGTACGTAAAATAAGTTCATCAGCGTTGAGTTATCGGTAATCTACGCAACGTAAACAAGAAGTCACACGAAATCAACGCGTAAAGACCCATTTACATGCAACCGTGCCATATCCGGAGCTTCTCTCTCTCTCTCTCTCTCTCCGTGTTCATTCTCCCTCGCATACAGTAAGTCACAAAAGTATACGTATCCTCTCAATTAACACGTGGAAATGAATTCCGGAAAAACGCGGTATTTTCAATTGTTCAATGCGATCTAACAACTTTAGCGATCCCGATCACCGATACCCCTTCCCTTCCCTTCCGGAAGCGACGGGTCAAGAAAACGCAAATGAAAATATTGTTTTCCTTTCAATGTCGCATAGATAACGGAAAAACAACTTACCGGTAATGACGTCAGCTGTAGAAGGTAAGCTGAATCTTGAATTTTCTCCGCAAGTAGTCAATCCTGGCGAGAATAATTTTACTGCTTCACTCCCGAGTGAAAATCACGTACATGTGGGCGCGCGATCACGCACATATACGCACGGGTCCACATATGTGACTATACCAGCCGATCTATTTATAAATTCTATATCGATTTTAAAAACTTTCGCAGAACACGCTACTCCACAACATATTACTGTACGTCGCGAACTTTGCTTCTCACTGACTTTACTAATATTTCTTTTTCTTTATCATTTCCCTTTCTTCGTTCACTCACTGTCTTCTCTTCATGCCGTTGTTAATCCTTTCCCCCTTTTAACTCTCTCTCTCTCTATCTTCTTTGTTTTTTCCGTAGACTTTCATGCGTTCCACACAACTTGGGTAGTACACACACGCGGAACACAATTTAACCGACTCTTGAAATTTCTTTCTTATACTCTTCCTCCAGCGACGATCTCTACGAATAATAGTTGGAGAAAGATGAAATTAATGCGTTAACCTCCTTCGCGGATTAAGCATGGACGGCGCGCAACTCATTTCGGTACACGTATCGAAATTTCAATAGAAGGTTGTAATTTCTCTAATATAAAGTATAACGAAACATTTTCAGGTTTAGTTATAATTATTAACCACGTTTTTTTTTGAAAATCCATATTTAGAGAAGTATACCTTCATTACTGTGGAGAAACGCGATCCGGCTTCTACATGACGAATTCTTGTTTTCATTATCCTTACGGCAACGTTTTCAATTACGCGTTACCGTTTACCGATTCATTACGAATATTTAATCGTGATAAAATAGCGAAAAGAAAAATGATTGGATTTCAGTAGGTTGAGATTGAAATGGAAACTGAATTGAAACGAAATGAAATAGGAAATAAGGAAAGGGTGAGAAAAGGTGATCGCGAAAGATGCCGCGTTCCCGTCGCTTCGAACGCCAATTTTGTCTTCTTTTAACCGACTGACCCTATCACCGATTGGGCGGAGCGCGTTGCACTCCACTTGTTCTCACAACTTCCGGTTCAGCTGTTCGCACAAAGGTCCGCATATCTTTCAGTGCCCCGCTCTCCACGAGAGTCTTGGCTACTATCTCTCTGTCTCCTGCTTTCTCTTTCTCCTACTAACACTCACAATCAGTGCGGATATATCTCGTAAAAATGCAACTGCTCGAGAATCTCATCACTGCCACGTGGCTTACTACACTTAACACTGTATTCCAATCTTGATTTCTTGTTGCCGTTGAAAACACTGTCATTTCCGTTGTTGTTGATGTTGCTGTTGTTGTTACCGGTACCACTTCTCTTGCTACCGCTACGGTATTCTTTATCACTTCCACAATGTTGCAATGTTATCGACAGACCCGCTTTCATCGCGGTTCTATCGTGCTGTCGATGAACCGTTAGTCTCGCAGTTCTGAACCGACGACGTTTCTTCGCTGGTAACCTAGCACAGTGCGTGTACGATGCACGCACTGTGCACGTTTCCCGCGCACGTGAGCCAGCGCCTTCGAGAGAAAAGAATATTGGATGACTTTCAATATGGCAGAACGAGAAACACACACAGGCGCGCGCTTTTAACGCGTACACGTAATCACACGCGTACTCACACACGCGCGAACATTCAAGTTGATTACCGTGCGGAAAAAAAATAACTGAATCTCAACGTTCTTCTCTTCGAAGTTTTTTTTTTGTTTCTTATTATTATTATTATTTCTCTATATCGTTCGATTTCACTATCCTTCTGCTACTATATTTCCTCTCCTTTTTTCTTTTTGTTTCCTACGCTTCGTTTCCATCCGTCCACCAATAATGTATGCTTCACGTCGAATCACTTTTTAATGTGTAACCATGGCTCTTCAAACTTTCACACGAAGCACTTTATGCGTTCGGATGTTTCATGCTCAGCCACCACTCTTTGTCTTGTGTCTTCGTAGCGGCGATGGCGGCAACGGCAGTAGTCCGGCAGTGTTCCTGCAAGAACAAAATTATTCTTTATTAATACACTATTTATTTCTTTCTTTTATTAATAACTAATTATTTTAACATTATAAGCATCTTTAACTCTTAAATGGTGAATAGCAATCTAGAAGACTTTGTTGTGATATAGTGTTTTTAGTTCCACGTACCGGAAGTTGTGGTATTACTATTAATACGAAAATGAAAACCTGCTGATTCGAACATTTTCAGATGGCAAATTTCAGATAATTTTCGAAATGAAAAAATTGTATTCTTTATGGTAAAAATATAGTACATCCTGTTACATAAACTTTAACAAAGCATACGAAGTAAAATATTTGAGCTTTCCTACGGTGGTACGAATAAAAACTTTTTCCCAAAAATTCACGCTAGAGGTTGAATTCTATTTTAAAATATAACGTGTACAGACGCTGAAATAATATGTAATAATAACTAATACAAGAGCGTGCGAAGCGTACAAGAATTCATTCCATTCCCAGTGAATACATTCCATCCGAATTATTATTATCTTGCTAAACCTAGAACGGTCGATAGCTCCGCAGTCGTTGTGACTCAAAGTCGAGCCGAGTCGAACCGAGAAGAGTCGAATCAAACCGAACTGGACTGTGTAGTTTTGTAGCGCGTCAACGCGTAAAAAGGGCAAGTGCGAAGCGATAGATCACACCAATAAAAGGATTCTATGTATGTATGTCTCGACTAGAAAGTCTTTCTTTCATTTCAATACTTTTCCGCCTAATTATGTCAACTAACGGTGACGAACAATTTTAAATTGAATTCTCATATCTACTACAACGATAAAAACGAATGCATAGACGAAGATATCATCAAATCAATAGTACTATACAATGTGCATAACTTATTCACGTTGCACATTCAATGGACCATTTGTAGTATCAAACTTAATGTATAAACATAATGCGAAATAAAATCTATTGTCTATCTATTGCAAGTAAAATATGCAAATTGGATTAAATTTATATTTAGCAATAGAATGATGACTTCAGGATTGGTTGAAAATAATTTTTGCAATTCTACCGCTGAAGTAACAAAGTACCGTCGCATTCATTGTAACGCTCTATCAGAGTCGTATTTGTTGAAAATTTTACTTGTTAATATAAGAAAACTTTCACCGTACTTTTTTCCTTATCGGTTGCATCAAATTTACACGTATCAGGTATTTCAAATATATAAAAGAATATGTAAGTATGTTGAAATGCAGCCCTAACGTTTGCTAACGTTTTCATGGTTAACTGGAAATATGGACAGTGTGATCTGTATATATTGAGTGTATCGCGTGAAAACAGAAGTGACGCAATTGTTAGTAAGAATTGTTGAAAATAAAAATGAAAAAGATATTCTTCCAATACAACAGATTTATTTTAATGTAAAATAAAATTATATTACATTTCACAACCATCTTACAATTCTAAAAAATGTATAGCTTTTTTTAAACGATACAAGAGCCTTTCGAGCACAAACGAATTTGACGCCTTTGTAAGCAATAAATATCTAAATGATATACAAAAATATTGAACGTAGCAATTACCGGTGGAAATTTTTTTCTTATTTTTTAACATCTAAAATTCGGAAAATTTAAAAGAAATATTCTATGTAAACATATGACTCATAATTTATATAGTTTTAGTTATTTTAAATTTGTATACACAAAGAACACTCAGAAAACAATTTCAAGAACTCTAAGATAGCAAAAACTTTGACACAGAAAGATAACGAAAATAAGAATAATATAAAAGAGTATTAAATTTAGTTGAAAAGAAGGAGATCTTTGAAATTTAAAAAAAGTTTATTCCATGGCATCCAAAGAATAATGACAAACTTTGATCTGTAAGGTTTTTATTCGTATCGTTTCTATGAATCAAGATAATTATGAATCATAAGACCGCTACAAAACATCGTGTCATTTTCTGAAAGTAAAAAAAGACTAGAAAATGTTGATTAAGATGAATTGAATGCAACAAGTTTAGTGTGTGTTGTGTACTTGACAGGTTTAAGGTGGGCATTTATAAAATATCAATATTGCAATATCGTGCTGTTCTTTCTAATCAAAGTACCTCGCAGATAACTGATAAAGTACTATAGATTCTTCACTTACATAACAGTGGGCGTGTACTCAAAATTAAATAGCCGATTTAAGACAATGCAAAAATAAGCGTCGAATTTTCCGTACTCGTGTTTCACGGGCTCCGAGAGAATAACGAACGTGCAGTTGAGGATGCACAAAGTACCTTCTTCTCTTGAATTAATCCAAAAATAAAACCGAGCCTAAACATCACTAATATTCAACAAAAGTGATAGTCGGGACGTGGTAAGTTAGCAAATCGTTGAAAATACTTGCAGACATATTGCCATTTAATTAAAAAAAAAAAAGGGAATAAATTTATTATCCATAGGATATTAATTACTGTTTTCTTATTAGTGGCTGTAATAGCGAATCGGTAATTTCGTTACTTGTTCAAAATATAATATAATCACTTGCGTTGAAGATATTGCAAGAAAACGAAGCCGATATATACGGAAGAACGACACGTCACCATAGGTTCAACAGTTGCGTTTCCCAACAATATGCATTTCGCAATTACGACTTGGAGAGTGAAAAGGATGAAAAAAAAAAAGTAGCATCGTTAATTCATCCATCTACAAATACGATATTTTGAACATGTAACAATTATATAACATACGTACGATTTTTCTTATTTTTTTACTTTTTTTTTAATTAATCACACGATGCGTTGTTATCTTCAAGTTCATACGAAAAGTGGTCGGAATAAGATATCGCCTATTATTAGATTCGCTATTTCAGGATCTTGAATACCCTCCAGCATGCTCACATTGTTCCGGACAGTATTATTAATACCATTTTTTTGCTAACCGGCGCAGAAATCACAGGGTATATCACTAGAACACAATGGGGTCTGTTGAGGCAACACCTTTAAAATCATTGAAAAATGAAATAAGCACGATGCCCACAGTCTAAATACGCAGGCAGAGGCAGACACAGCAATTGTAGCACAGGAAAATAGCAGAATAACACTCGGTCGGTAACTTCGCCACCATAAAGCACTGCGTAAACACGATATTTTTAATAATCCTTCGAATATGGTTAAATATATACACGAAAACTCACAACCACAGTATGACAGACGATCAAATGGAATGAAACGAATAAACTACCACGGATATGAATAAACGAATGAACGAGTGACTAAAGGAACGGAGAACCGATTAGAACGCACTTCAAGTGTTGCAGATGAATACACATTCGACGAGCACGGGACACAATATTGCGGTAATACATTTTCAGCTAAAATGCTATCGAATACGTGGTTTCACTCTTGTACACTATTCAACACTACCACTGTATAACTGTTTAGGCTTAGATGCAGGTGCAGAAATAACCATTTTCTTTCTTTTCACAATACCCTTCTCCTTGTTTATCTTAACCGAAGAATAAACAATAACTGGAAAAAGAGGGGGTGAAGACAGAGGGGAAGGGATAGAATGCATTTTAAAATGTAATTTAATAGTATACGTATATATATATTCGACATACGTAAGAGAATGAAGTGGAGAAATTACGTACACTTAACGCATATTGTACAAAGAAAGGAAGATGGAAAGGAAGAATTGTGTGTATGCGTGCGTGCGATCGTGTATGTGTATGTGCGTATGCGCGCGCGCGCGCACCCGCCGCGTGTGTGTATGCGTGTGTGCGTATATGCATATATACGTGAAAAAAAAGAAAGATAACAGTATGAAATATCTGTTTTAGCAATTTTTTCTATACACCAGGCATTTCTTTGTCGACACTGCCTACAGTTTGTAACACTCCTTGCAGGAGGTTAAACACAAATGAAAACGGATCGGTTAGTTTCACCACATATTTCTCTTCTCTTACCCGAACTAGTCCGTGGTATTCCTGAGTGGCGGCCACGGTGATTAAAAAACACTCGCGTCTTACATTCGCGCCCCAACGAAGGGTAGTCGAAATCGTACGGTCAGTCCAACGTTTTCAGGGCCGCCAGGTTAACGTCACGAAATCCACCGACACAACCATAGATCCAAACGGTGGACGGACGGACGTAAGGACGGACGGCTGGCTGGCAGCAGGCAAGGCGGAACACAGAGAGGTCCGGGGGAAGGGGTATTGAATGCGGCAGGGTGAGGGTAAAGTTTCTGGATACGGGGCAGGTGGGGTCATAAGGGATCGGGGATGTATGGAGTCGGAGTGGGGAGAAAACGAACGAGAACGAGCGAGGAACCGAACCGTCCGACGACGTAGCGTCGCGGGGGACGGAGGTCTACGCTAGCTCAGGAGCGTTTTGTCATGGTTTCTCTGGCACCACGGTTGATTGCCTCTGACATATTTTTTCCTCTTTTCTCATTATTTTCACGCATCTAATCATTATCAAATTCTCCATCGTCTATGCTAAATACGTAAACTTTCTAACGCTTCGAACATATGAAAAACACAAAATGCTTACTTTATACATTAACGACACTACGAATGTCGACATATACAATGTGTATTCCGAAAGATCTGAGCAGCTTAAAGGTGATAGCTTAGAAACTAAATCTGATACATGTACATATTGATAAAAATGTGTGACAATTTTAACTACATGTTGATGATTATGCATCACTTACTGGTAAAAACTAAGTAATTTGTTATTTGATACATCTTTTCAAATCTTTCATTTGAATTTCATCATCCTTTATAAAATGTGCAAAGAATTCTTGTATATGTTTTTGTATATAACAAATATAATGATATTGACCGTAATTTCTAAAATAAATTTCAGTAACGAACAGCATTGTAATGTTTCATTTGATTATACTGGTTTCATAAGTTTTTAATGCATTTAAAGCTGAACATGAATAGGAATTATACAAAATAATTTAATATAGCGAATTTGAAGAAATAAAAACGCTAATCATCTTGTGAAAATCGTAATACACTTTTAAAAACAATGCATTTCCAGCTATACATGATACATTATCAGCAGTATGAACTTTTTATAAACACTAATTTCCGAATAGTTTATGTACACGTTAATGTACTATATGATTGTGGAATACGTTTTAGTGAAATTAATATCTTGGTTCAATTTTCAAATGCCTTGGTAGTTACGTACAAATTATATAAAACTATTCGTTCACAAATATGCATAAAACCTAAGATAAAATGGTGTATACGGCACTGCATCTGGCACAAGCAAACTTGCTGCCTTGTGGCTGGGTAGAAGGGAAGAGAAGGGCTGGGGAGGGAAGAGTAGAGAAATGAAGAGAAGGGAACGAGGGGGTTGTGAATAGTACGGGTAGGGATGTCGGCCGTTGGCGGAGGAGGGTATATGGTTGATCCTAGCCGCGCAAGTACGAAAGTCTGACAGAGACAGAGGAAAAGTACGAACGAACGTAAAGGAGCGAAATAGAATGCAAGAAGGCTCGGCAACGATGCATTACTGGGATACGTATGGCAACGTCGCAAAAAGCTTCATGGACGCCAGGCAATCCACCAACACATGAGTGTACGGAGAACGGCAGACCAGAGAAGGAAAGAATCCCGTTTTACCGAGTTGGAGGAGATAGAAAGAAGGAGAGGGGACCAAATACACAAGAGAATGAGAGATCTACCAAGTCTTAAACAGGCTACGAAGTTTTCCACCAATCTCTTGAAATTTCAGGAAAACGTTTGACATATTCTAAATATACGTATTTTATATACGCACCAGTGATGTAGTTCCGTTCGGCTAACGCGTCATGCATCTTCTATTTACACCTCTACGCGTCTGAATAGCATACTAGAATACATTCTATAATTAATAAATACACTGGAATCTTATAGTAATACCTTAGTATTTAAGGTACACAGAATCTTCATAACAGTGTATTGTACTCACATTGAAACAAATTTTAATCTTTTCAGTATAAATAATTTATAAAAATTTATTCATTTGCCAAAGAAGTAAATATATACTATATTGTAAAATATGATCATTTTAAATGAAACAGAAATTGTTCATAATTACAAGACTTTAACATACGACATTACATTATATAATTGGATCTATAGTGTAAAAACTTGTAGACTATTTTCAATTGAAGTAATAGTTTAAAATATCTGAATGAGTAATGTTTACAGCGAGCTATCGCTTTATCTTACGAACAGTACGATTGTAGTTCAGGCTGCAAATTTTAAATTTACTTCGAGAGGAACAGAATATGGTGTCTGAAAAACGAGGTCCCAACATCAATGTCTCACGAGGGGAACTACCCAAGTGTTACGCTCAGTTAGTAATAATGAAACTGCCATCGAGTAGAACTCGTCGAGCTGAATACGCCTATGCCCATTTTGGAGGCAGACGTCTAATTGTTTAAAAGATATTAACAATTAAAGTTAGTTACTCTTTACATTATGAAGTATAACAAACTCGCACGTGGAAAGGGTTAGCTCCGTAGTCAACCGCACGACTCCCAATCTATAGATGCAGGGTTCAAATCTTTGATTACTTGGCATTTTTTTTTTTTAATGGTAGTTTGTTTCTTTTTGACTACCTATTACAGTTGTGGTATAGTCACTGTATTTATTAATAATTTATTATATACGCTGCAATTTTTATAGAATTTAAATTATGTTTTCCATCCAATACGGCATCGTATGTTTATTTGCCATTACACACAATTATTTCTTGCAATTTCAGTTTTGATCTTATTTAATAACAAATAAGTGGGTGTAAATTTATGATGCCGTAGCGATGTTAATGTGTGTACTGGATAGAAAACATAATTTAAATTCTATAAAAGGTGCAACGTATGTAATGAATTATTAATAAATGCAACGACTATAGCACAGCTATAATAGGTACTCAAAAAGAAAGAAACTGTTATTAAAAAAAAAAATTGGAAACCAAGGATTTGAACCATGGACCTCTAGCTTGCGAGTCATGTGTTCAACCGCGGCGCTAACTGTTTCTATGTGTGAGTTCTTATACTTGAGAATGTAAGGAGTAACTAGCTGTAATTGTTAATATCTTTTAAACAATTAACCGTCTGCCCCCAAAATGGGGTATAGGCGTATTCAGCTCGACAAGCTCTACACGGTGGCAGAGTTTCATTAATAAGTGAGCGTAACACTTGGGTAGTTCCCCTCGTCAGGGGCGTAGACTACACGCAAATTGGTTCCTGTATCATTTCTCATTCTACTATTCGGCATTTTATGGAAATCATGCCTCTTGTTTCTTTTTCATTATTTCGTTGAAACGAGTACACCGGTTCCTGACGTTTCTAAATATCTCTAATCGATACGTTATGCTCTTTATACCGAGAAATAATAACAGAAGTGGAACTATAAAACGATAACACTGATTACTCGATGGCGAAAGGGTGTGGCAGCGCCATTGAGTCGTTACACGCAGGAATAGAGCAAGTAGTGGGATAATACGTGCGATTGCGTATATTTGTGTGTGCGCGCGCATGAGCGTGTGTGAGTGAATAAATGAGGAAGAAAAAAGAAGAAAAGGAAACAGAAGAGAGAAAGAGCGAGAAGGGGGAGGGAGGAAAGAAGGACAGAAAGAAACGATTGAAGTGCAAAAGAAATGAAGAGGACAAAGAGTGAGACGAACATACAAAAAGAAAAACAAAAATGAAGAGAGAAGGAGAAAGAGTGAGAAGGCGGTAGAAGTGGCGGAAACTCAGAGCGGCGGAGTGCGGATGGGGACAAGGATGAACCACCTTAAAGGGGATAGTATGAATCATAAGTAATCAATATTATACCTGCGACCGATATAGAAAAATTTTGGACGACCTTTAAATGCTGTTGCACTTAACTTTTTATTTTATTTTTCAAAAATATTTTTAATTGGTACATAATTCTTCTAAGGAAAAAACTAAAACAGCTATATTTTCACTAACATTTTTTTTTTACATTTGTTCATATTAAATATCCTGAATTCTATGAATGCAATAGAATGGTTCTTACGTATATTTAATTAATTACAATTAATTATAAAACAATTTTTATTTAGATGTAAATTTATTATAGAAAACAATTTAAAGAATTTGGTTAAATATCAATTTATATAAATAATATAATGCACATATGGTAATACTTTTCCCATATGCACAAAATTTGTAGATCATATATCAAAACTGTTACTAATTCGTGATATAGTTATTTATTATGAACTACTTACGTATACTTTGGTGCGTTTGCAAGATGCCAGCAAAGATAGGATAATATAACCTTTAATGTTTAAAAGGTGTCTTACGCCGTGATATTTTTCCTTTTTACTAACAATGAATTTTAATTGTTAGTATTTACTTACTTTTGTACTACTTTATTTCGATGATTTGTTTCCTTAAATGAAACTAATAAAAGTATAGGTTAGGTAAATATGTATACGATTGTTTTAAATAATGAATATCAAACATATTTATATTAATTTATTTATTATACAATAATTATATTTACAAATATTTATTGGTAAATGGTAGTGGTTGACTGGATTCTGATATACCATACATGGCAGATAGTATATTAGTAGCAGCTACATTTTTTGCTTCTTCAATAGTTTGCCCAAATCCTGAAAATATAACATAAACTGTCAGTTATAAGATATTTATTATTTATATTTATTTTTAATTCATTCACTACCTGAACCTAAAAATTCTCTATCTATATAAATTCCAACATGGTATGCTGATAAAATAGTATTTGTTCCAGCTTGTCCAATAATTCTTGCTTCTATAGATGCTTTCCTTTCTGTAGACATGATATCACTTAACATTTCAAATGGTTTTGCTGGAGTCCATATTTCAGTGAGATCTTTGTCTGCTAGTCCTGTTATTAAAAAATCTTGAACAAAATCACTGACATGACCTTTATTTGTACTTTCAGTAAGTGCTCCAACAAGTGCTAGAAATGTCTGAGCTAATGTTTCTTCGCTTGCTGGATGTTCCTAAATCACAATTATGCAACAATATATAATGAGTAAAATAATTTAAGTACTTCAATGTAAAATAAATTTATATCTACTAACAGCAGTTAAAATAATGTCCTTTGTTCCAATGTGTAAGGATGCTTTGGCCAATATCTCTTGAGACATAATGTGGTCATATAATGACCTAAAAATAAATTTATTTATACACATATATATCAAAATGAAAGGATCGTGTTATAAAAATTTATATTCAATATATTTCACACATACACGAAACCTGATTCAGGAAGATCTGGTAAAGCCATATTGAGATATATTGTTACAATTTCTGAAGTTATTTCTTTGCCTTTTTCAATCAATTCTCTATTATCTTGTATATCAAGTTTGGGATCTGTTATTCCCATTTCCTCCTGTTTCTTTAATTCTTGAAGAATATATGATTTATGTATAAATGCTTGATTTAGCTTTTCCATATCAAATTTCTCTTTGAGTCTTTGATTAAATGCATATAATTCTGCTTCTCTATTCCATTCTATAAAAGTACTTCGTTTTGGTTCAGGTTGAGGAGGTAACTGTTCTTTTCTTTTACATATTTCTTTCAGAGTTGGAGCTACCCATCGCTTAAAGTGTCTGCAACCTATTCTTGAAATTAACATATAATACATATTTTATGTCACATAAAGCATAATGAATATTACAGTTGAGATTCTTACCTCCATAATTTATAGCGTTTAAAGTTGCGATACTTGTTAAACACAAACGTAATTTATTCATGATTTATAGAAATTAAATACAATGTAAAATTTCTATTAAAATGTCATACACCACTTTAAGAAAAATACTTCATCACGTAACATTACATATACTTGTTTCAGTAAATTTAAATTAATGATGGATTATAATGCGTTCTTATTATTTCTCTATATATATTTGTTGAATTCATACACTATCAGTACACTTTAGGGTTAAGATTAGTTTCAATGATGGTGGTAGGTAGCGCAATATGTCGATGAAAGGACGTAAAGTTTTAAAAACAAAAATGATAGACTTCTCTAAAAAAAATGGAGAGAAAGCATTTTTGAAATTTAATTAATATTTGATATTTATTACAAAACTTACGTACACGAGATAATACATAAAAAGCACTTACATGCAAAAAACCATATAAATACCAGTAACAAATATAATTCTTTAAATGAGGTTCTTTATTCATCTATTGTTCAACACGGTTCGTTGTAATTACGTTTCCTTTTTATTTATGCACAAACTACCCTATCTCTTGAGATCGTCTCAGTACACCTAGTGTGTAACATCTTTCTGAAGCAATACACTCACTTCAGTGTTCGTCTTTTACAATACTTCTTAAACTAGCAGTTCATTTTAATATTTAAAAAATATTTTCTTTTTATAATGTACTTGAGGATTTTTTCAACACTGTAAAAACACACAACGCACTCTTATAATATTATTGTTTGTTATTGTTTGATTTTAAGTTGTTTTAACGTTACAATATACAAAAGGACAACATCTGGGCCTTATACATTATAATCAAATTATTTTTGCAACTCGTTAGTAATTTACGAATCAGGTACATGACATCGTGAATTATAAATACATGATACAATGAAATGTAGTAACTTATTACGTAAAAATTCTTGATAATTTATCTCATATCAATAATACTTAAAATTTATCATAATAGTAAAAATTGTTCAAAGTTAAATACTATGAGTAATAAGAAAATTACTCGGTTGTGCGTAAAGATGTTCAAAATATTGCAGTATTAATACCACAATAACTTATTAATGTTTCTCCAATTAAAAATTTGTCATTCTTCATTGGTTTTTTTCATACAACTTTTGAAGAGTTATTAACAAATTATTTCTAACAAAATAGTTCTTAATTAACAGTGTCTATTGTCAAGGCATTTTCTATCACAGATATCTAATTCGTCTAAACGATTGTGCGTATTAAATGCAGTTGTATATAAATACATTTAAAAAATATGTAATCTGTTCATTCAAATATGTAACACGTTAATTTGTTATGTTTCTTCAACTATTTTTATGACAAAATTTATATCCATTTCTGCTCGTATCATGGCAAGATCATAAACTCTATTTACAGTAAAAAAAAAAAAGGAAACACCAAAAATAAATATATGAAAGTTAATACTAATAACTACTCGTAATGAGAAGTGTATAAAATATTCCAGAAAATGGCAGCTGTCATGAGTGCAGTGTAAGTAATAATACTGGCCCACCAAACAACTTTTTCCCAGGTTTTCACTTCAAGATTACGAAGTACATTTATGCCCACAAGTAGGCCTGCAATAGCACCAGCAAAATGTGCAACATATCCAACTTGGTCGTCGGTTGCTAATACATAACGGTTATATATTGCTTGACCAATGTCAGCGGACGTTACAACAAGAAATACTAACAATTGCAAAACGGCGAACTCCATCTGAGACCAGTTCATTAAAATAGTTGCAACATGAGCAGTTATTAATGCATATACACCACCCGATGCACCCGCCAAGTATACTCTAGGGTCAGACACGGATGTACCAAGAGATCCTGCCACTACTCCAGCTAGATATATGATTAGTACTCTCCACCATTTGTGCACCATTTCTAATGGAATACCCAACATTATTTGTACAAGTAAGTTTACCACTAGATGAAATACCCTGTTGGGAATAAAATTCTTAATTAATTCGTCGTATAAACATGATACTTAATGGTAATGCAAAGTGAAATACATACCCTACATGTACAAACATGTATGTTATATACCTCCATGCTTGATACCTTTTGTGTGGATTATAAATAAATAATGTAGCTGCTGGTCCTTCTACAGAAGGCGTTCTGTATACGATCACATCGTACAAAAATAAAACAATTTCTAATATTGATATAATTATCATGGCTAGTGCTGGAGGGTTACAAGTATATTCTTCTTCATACTGTCCATCAGGAAAATCACTGGAACGTGTTAAATGTAAAGTACTAGGTCTTTGTGGTACCATTGATTGTACATATCTTTGTACAAGATGTCCAAAAACACCTTGCATATCTTTTCTGTGAATCTAGAAAAAAAAAATGATTTGAATTGCTATATAAATTTTTGTTAGCTACAATGTTATAAATTAATTTTAAATATAAAATATAAAAATTTCACAACAATGTATAACATAAATATAAAAGAAATAAAAATGAGGATACCATAGCTATAAATTCTGGATAATCTAAATATCCAGAATCATCTAAATCTGCCTTACGCATTATTAGATGAACAACTCTGGTTGGAATATCATTAGAATAAGCAGAACTTCGTATCATTGCTCTTAATTCTTGGTAAGAAATTTTCCCATCACCGTCAAGATCATATTTTTCAAATATAGACTTCCAATGCTGAAAAAAATTACTTGTTATAATGATTATGTATAGAATTCATGAAGGTTATAATGAAAATGATAAAAATCAATTCTTACAGAGTTATTATATTGTAATGGTATTGTTATACCCGATTCCCCATCTTGAGTAGTCGACATCCTTATTAGTTTGAAACCTCTGCAAAATATAACAGAACACAACTTAACAATAAAGCTATTGTTATTAAATCTTATATTAAACAATTTTCAATATTAAACTTAATTAAACTTAAGTATACTTTCTGACAAAACAGAAATTAAACTTAATTACAAGAGTATCAAAAAAGTAAGAAAATATATTTGTATATTTTATACCTTTACTTGATAAATAAATTATTTGAATAAGCAAGCGATGCGAGTTACACCTATATATATTAAACACGCGTACGGACATCCGTCCAACAGTCGAAGGTGCTTCGTCAAGATATCACGGATAAATTAGTCATTTTCTCTGAGCAATATTGTTTCAATGGTGCACGCCTATTTTATCTTATCAATCGATGAACTATTCGGAAAGTCGACGATGATAACTTACGTAGCATCGATGACATATTCAATCAACAATGTACGTTAAATCCAACTCTCATTATTATATACACGGTATATAAACATACTTCATTCATCAATAAATATCACATATATTATACCTGTACACTTGAAGATTCTAATCGATATAATAACTTGAATTATCTTTGAAAAAAATTTTCCATTACTGTACGATCAATTAAATCAGGATAGAAACATTCGTTTCATCACGCAGAACAGGATATGTATATGTTTGAAAATGCTGCACGTTAAAGTCGCCAGCGTCGCAACAGGTGAACTCAACGACCAAAAGTATCGTACAAATAGAAAGTACCGCAAGATAGAATGTTGTAATCATTCTTTTACTGATTGTCAACACAGTACTTTAATTTTTATTGATTGCTAATTATCCATACTTGAACAAAAGTACAGAGTTTGGAATTGCAAAAAGTTGCAAACGAAAAAGTATGTTTAAAAATGGGTATCGGTTTAGAGAATTTGTTTACATAAACGGAAATTGGATCATGCAATTATTTTATATGAGTTATGATTAATTGAAGTCTAAAATAATCACAAAGGAATTTTTATTGTTATCAGAAGAAGTATGTATAATCATAATAATCTTCGAATCTACAAGTTACAGCAAGTAAGAAGAATCGTTTTTTGCTGATTCATTTCATTTTTTAAAGAAGTCACAAAAATTCACTTGTTTGTATTAGATATCTTGAAAATTATCAATGAAATCTATCATCATTGCCTTAAAACAATATCGAATACATACATAGTCAATACTGGACATCTTACACCATATAAATGTATAGTTCAGTCATTTGTGGCTTATACTAGTTACTAAGCAACAAGAAAATCGATAAACAATGCATTCGCTTACGATTGTCGGTGGTTAGTGGTTGCTTTCTAGACTTCAGACTTTTAGTTTACCTTTTGCACGAGTGTCTGATGGTTCTTCGAATAAACATGCCAAACAAAATACGAAAGAAAAAGATTGCTGCCAATTATAAAGTTAAAGAACCTATCGGTAATTTTAAATTAAGGTAATGATAAAATAGTTTGAGAGAAATTCAGTATTAGAAAAAATGTCTTATTAGGACATCATGTACACCTTTTTTTCACCACGATATCACTTTATGACCGACCAAGTTTCATTGTTATCTACCTGTTGATGACGGTCGCGGCTGCTTGTTCGAACGTCGAAGCATCACCAACTTTTCTCGTTCATTTTTCAAAATACAAGGTGTGGTTGGTTTGAATGTGTTCTCTTAATTGAAAGATGATGTCTTCCCTTTTTTATAATTACAACCTGCTTTATATTTTGATTGGTGAAGGAGATGCCAAAAAGTGGTGGCAACAAGAGTAGTGGGGAAAGTAATGAAAGTACGATGTTTTGTATTTTGGAAGTCGATCTTCGACGAAGTTAAAAATTTTGAATAAGCGTAATCGGTCGCAATATCATCATCTCTTAATTAACAATAAGAGGAAAGGTAGACGAAGGAATTTCCCACGATTAGCATTCGGTCTTATTGTTACGGGAATCCCGGGAAATCCTAAGGTGATCTAGGAAGATGACCTTAAAAAAGTTATCCGATATTAACTGACAATGAGTCACTTTATATGTTATCTGAATCGATATAATTAACTTGGATCGTCGAAACAATTGTAAAGAAACAACTGTGCTGTTTAGCCGGCTAAACTTGCGGGCAGATCTGTCGATAGAATTAAATCCTGTAGCCATCTGGCAGAGATTGTTTCTACCTACTAAATTGTATTTACCTTTCGCGTGTTTATTGTTACAGAGTCAAAATCGTACAGCAAAGGCCTTTGCTTGCAGATCTCCTCGAAAACGAAGGGGATACCAGAGACTCGAATTTTCTTGAAGAAGAGGATCGTATTTTTAGCTGGCAAGAAAAAGTATTTAGCCCGTTTGAAGCGACTTTTTACAGTGACCAGAACAATTGTCTGACCGAACAACAGAAACTATATTACCAACAAATCAAAGATAACGATATTCAAGGTTCTCTATTGTACACATACACCCAAAATGATTCTTATTACTTGGAGAATGAATTATTGACCGAACCGTGTAAGACAAGATTAGGGATCAGAAATCAAACTGCATTACCGGCCTTGCAAAATCGTAAACCTTTCCAGGAAAGGTATAATAAAATAGTGCTGGATGATGTACCTAATAAAACAAGGATTCGTATAAACCATTACCATTACATGGAACGTTCTACGATGTATGTCATGGTTGATTTATCTCAACGAGATAAAACCTTAACAAGTTCTGACGATGATATGGAAACGGTATTGTGTGTCATTACGTATGACGGGTTGCACAAAATTTTGTCAATCAATCCTGACTTTACGGACGATCATTGTTACATTATCGCGAATTCCAATGGTGTTAAATTTAATTATTGGCTCGAGCATGCTTCCGAGAAACCATCGTCATTGGAATTGCAACAACAACAAAATGAAGCGCGACGAGTAAGTTTATTTAAAATGGATCTGTCATTATAAACCGGTTTGCGTAGGTTTTCAAGTTTACTCATTCGAATGTATTAAATAAAAAAAAAAAGATTAAAAATATTTTGCAAAAGATACGTACCCTACATAAGAGATTTCAGAGATTTGTCTCATCACTCGTTGCGGACTAAACATGTTTCTTGAATTCAATGAAAATTTATCAAATTCACCAGTAATCTTTTCATACTTGAACAACTGTCACACTAAACTGATTTTAATTGTTTTATTTTACATTTGGTTAAAACACGCTTAGGAAACATGTACGTGTTAATAATTAATTGAGTATTGCTTATCATTTTATTATACGTTAGGTATTAATAAAGTTTTACAAATTATTAACAATACTGAACACGCGGATGATGAACAATTAAGCAAGTTAACCGGTGTGATTTCAAAACGCAACTGAAATTCTATAGCGATGAATGGCTGTTTGAATACTTCACGCTTGTCTGTTGAATCATACGTGTGTATACCTATATACGTATACCTACACATGCGGGCATACGAGTTTGTATTTTTTACACGTGTATATAGAGTTTGTAGCAATAGTATCATTTAACACAGAACTAATTTTCGTACAATTTCCGACTAGTAATGATCGTGCAATTATTTTGTGCTATCATCCAATGTTATGTTATGTAAAAAAATATGTATTTACTTCATTTGATACTAATATTTATTGTATAAATTAATAGAATTTTTTGTTTTTTACATAATTTATGATATAGGAAATCAGGAACCGATTAATGTACAAGGAAGCAGAAATATCTCATGGTATACAGTTGACATCACCTGATGTATACAAATTCTTTATAAAATTGGATATTCTATCGGTTCATAATTTTTTCTTTGATGGACTCTCTGTCTCTTACCAAATGAACTTACCAGAACAGTGGAGCACAAATAAAGAGGACAGATTATTTGGAAGAACCCAGAGATGTAATTTGATAAATAATTCTGCATATTTTAGTTATGCTACAGAGATGTCACTAGATCTTCATTCAGCAAGCATTGAAACAGAAGATACTGTACCATGCTGGCCAAGATTATTGTTATCAGTTATATCCCTTGACAGTTGGTCCAGGTACTGGGTATAATGAATGCAATACTGGGTTTTTGAATGCAATATAAAGATGTTTAAAATTAAATAAAATTTCAGGTATCGTACAGAAGGTTATGCTAGTCTACCTTTGCCTGTATTACCTGGTTCATATAAATTCAATATTCCAACATGGAGAGCAACAGGAAGTATTATTAATTCTCTTAGAAGGTTTTTTACAGGTGGTACTTATGAACTGGAAGATATAACATACTGTGGTATTCCTCAAGGACATGAAGGTAAAATGTTAAGTAAGTCACAATTAAATGTCACTCCAAGTGGTAATATAAAGTTAAATATGAATATTGTTCATCAAACTAGTTCTGCTAAAGATAGAGATCAGTTAGAGTATCTTCAACATCTGAGTACAGATAAATTTATGACTAATATAGAAAATATTTTTGAACAGTTTAAAGCAGCTAGAGAACATATGTTGAAAATTAAAAATTTAAATATTTAAATGTAAATAATAAATTAATAGTAATAATAGATTTTTGAATTGAAAGAAACAATCTGTGATACAATAAGCAGTTCTATTTAAAAGAGGTAAAGGTCATCTCCGTTTCCCGAAAAATGTACAAATATAAAATATTTATGAACATATATTATGTTAGCTATGAAAAACAATAAAACTTTTCCTGTTTTATTTTTTTTTCATATATTTACTAGAAAAATGCTGGCTAATGTTGGCGTAACACATCCGGTACACAAAATAAATATACAAACATTTAAAGGAATACTATAAGTATAAATGCAATTTTAACATCATACGCTTTTTATTTTAACTACAAACACGGTTTTTTAAGCACTGATTCATCTAGTGCCAAATAATTTTTCTTTTGTTATATTCAATTTGTGTATTTTACATACACTTTATATACGTGCATCCGAACGATTTTGAATCCGAATTTGAATTAATATTTACTATATAAAACATAAAAAGTATATTTTGTTAACATCTTCCAAAATGTATTTTTTTTGTTTGCTTAAAATTTACTATTTTACAACAGCAATTTATAAAACATTTTTATTATACAACTAACTTGTGATAAGTTGTGTGACAAAATTTTATAAATTATATTTAAATTACACATTAAAATAATATTTTGTATGATTCACTGTTGTTTCTTCAATTATAAAGTTACATGGAATTCAAAAAAGAGTGAGGCATAATTTTATATTCTAAAATGGAGCTAAGAATTAAAAGACTAGAGTAAAAGTGCAAATATATATCCTAAAGACATTTAAATCATTGCCTCTTTTTTGCAGCTTTTACTGCTTTTGTTTTTTGTTTTTCTCCTCCAGATAAACAATATGATGTTATTACTTCTGACATTTCTGGTATATTATAATTGGTAAAATTATTTAACTGTTCCATTTCCTGTAACAATAAAACAGAAAACAATGTTGAAGTCAAATAAAAATTTATCTTATAAATCTATTTTACCAACCTTTCTAGTTTCAGGATCATTCATAATTTTTGGTATAATCATAATCAACAAGAATGGTAGTATCATCATTAATACCTATATGAAAATAACACAAAATAAACATATAATACAATTTCATTTATCTATACTTGATGTCAAGAGAGTCCATAACTACGAAAAGACCAGTTTTCGTTCTTTTCTGCGCATTGTCGCTCTGATTGGTGATACTTCCAGCGGAAGTGAATAGCGATTGGCGGATCGCTTTCTCCCACCATCACTGCGTTCCCCCACCATCTTCCAACCTGCGCGTTTAGTTATGGACTCTCGTGACATCAAGTATATATTAATAATGATATAATAAGTTTCATACCATTGGATTAAATAAAAAGTCTGTTACTCTCCACTGTTCTCTGACTTGGAAATAACGAAATGGTGTTAGTGGTCTCATTTTTAATGGGTATGGAACCTGTGTTACTTGGGCTGTTTGAATTAAATTAACTTTGCGAGCTCTGAATTTTCCTTTTGAGTTAATTTCTACTCTTACAGGTTCATAGACACAATTTGGATTTACAACTTCAATTATATAGGATCCAGATGGAACATTAGAAATAATAAATGTGCCATCCTCCCTAAAAGTATCAAAAAAGATAATACTAATCCTAACCTATATAGAGTTTTAGAAACATTATTCTGCATAGTTTTGATGTTTGAAAAAAATTTTATTGTCCCTCGTAGATAAATACTTTTCTTAATTATTGATAATTTTAGATATATAGTCAATTTACCTCAAAAAACCATAATGCTCTCCACCATTAGCCATGACGTGTGTCATAAGTTGCCATCCATTTGAAGCACCGTTTTCCCATGGAAAAACTTTTCCCTCGATAACGTATAGCTCCGTTGATGTGTCCTCATCGTTTTCGGCAATTACGTACTTATTTGATATATTGACAATAAGGAAAAATAGAAAAATAACACTTCTGTGCATGATCATGTTGGATGTAAATATACTCAAATACACTTTGTACAGTTTACATGAAAACCTTAAACCTATTATTCGTTCAACAAGAACTCATACTTGTCATACGACGAATTTTCATTGGTTCTGCGCACTGGCTCAAGCATGCTTCGTCTGCGCATTGGCTGAAGCATGCTTCGTCTGCGCATTGGCTCAAGCATGCTTCGTCTGCGCATTGGCTGAAGCATGCTTCGTTTGCGCATTGGCCGAAGCATGCTTCGTCTGCGCATGCGCGTCGTAGTACCGAGCCCAGTATACCCGTTGGTCTCATATTCAGTAACTCTTCGATCGTTGACGTTGTTACTTCGACAGATATATTTGTGTTTACCGTGTATATAACCACGAAGTGTCACGAAGCTAGGAGTACGAGTAGAAGGCGTCCCTGAGCTGCGCAAAACAGGTATGTTCTCTTGTTGAACGAATAGTACTGTCTATAAACACAGTGAGTTTCTGTTCTACGTATTACATTCTATGGGAGGTGGTCGAACGATCGAAAAGCTTCGTCAGTTGTAGCGCCGACTCGGCTCGAAGTTGTGTAGTTTAAAGGCACATCACTGTACAAACTAGAAGCACGTTTTTTTCCTATTAAGTAACGTAGACACAGTAACATTCGAGATAAAAAAGCTCATACGACAATGCCGCGTCAACCAGCACATTGGAGAAAATTCGTACTCGTCTATATTTTCCAGTTATTTTCATGTAAGTTATACGCAATCGTAAACACCCACCCGGCCAGTTCATTCTGTTTTCAGACAGTGAAAATAAGAATTATTTCGTTATAATTTTAAGTGTCATACTACTTAAAATACAAAGGAATTTATAAACTAGTTTACTTGATCATTTTTTTCTATAATTTATGTTTAATAACGTGTGATAATCTGTTATATTGTGGAGTTTGAATGAAGGCTTGCGTAAGGGCTAGCGTTCCATTGAGTACGAGAGTAAACAAACTCTTTAGTGACATTTGGTACATATAACAGTGCAATTCATGTAAATTGTTTCTTTCAAATTAATACACAAAGTTGTATTATTAGAATAAATAGAAAATTTATCGGAGACAATTACAACAATCGTACTTAATACATTTTTCTACAAGGTCGTATTATTTATCAGATTTCTAATTAAGTGATTCAAAGGAATTACCTAGTGATCAAAGAAACGCGTGCACATTTTTCGCGGTTTTTTTAAACGTCACTCTTTTAACCCTATACCTTCTTTTTCATAGTGTTTATTTTTTTTCGATGTTTAGATTGTACAATTCAGTGATTTGTACAATTTTTTATAAATTATACGTCATTTTATTGTCCCTGAAAGTTCCAACATTTTTATCCGCTAAAGAGTACTCGAGGTTAGAAAATAAAAAATAAGTTTTGTGCTTGCTTTTGAGGGGATCTCTGCGACTCCTCGAACGACCGTTTAAATGCGAGTGAAAAACCATTAAAAATCTCAAGTGTTACGCGACGGTGGTTCGGAAAATGGAACGATTTCGTTTCTACGATTCCGTTGTCCTCGAATATGGTGCTTTCGGAACGTCTTGAACCGCTGGAATACCGTGCGCCCGTGTTGGTAACACGCGCTTTCCAGTGATCGATACAGTAACACCTCCCAGCAACAGGGTACTGCCACAAGTAGTTATAGTCAACCGAAACCTCTCCATTCTTCCGTACGCTTTTATTACATCGAACGTATTTTTCAATGCGTTATTCGCGATCTTCCTCTCATTTTCTGTCCAACAAATCATATAAGATCCTATCTGCCCAACGAGTTAACGCTGGAAGTTAACAGGAAATTGACGATCCTCCGAGTCGACCTAGATATCGATGAACATCGTTGGCGAATTAATAGACACCTTCTTATCGAGCCTGATTATTATGTTATTAACACTTTCATTGAAAATAATTTCTCGTATGTTTATCGTTTAATTTTTGCTTTTATGCGCTTGAGTATTGTAATTGGATCAGTTTTCTTCTGAACTGACGTGGCCGACTTGTCCCGAGGATACGGTATTAAGTTGTTAAATTATGTATTTCTAAATTAATATCACGTTCGAAAGGTTAAACAAATATCTAATGATCGCTAAATTTAGCCACTAGGAAATTAATCCTAAAAGCATTGATTTCCAAGAAATTGATCGCTTTTTTGTTAGTCTAATAAAGAATTAGGACGTTGACCCAAGTTATTTTTCTACCACTCCGTGAGAAATGAAATACTCTTCAGCATGTATTTTTAATTAGAAAATGGTAACAAAATTAATTCCATCTAATGTTCCGCATCATAAACCGTGGCGGAAATGTTCGTTTTATTTCATGCATAAATTAATGAATGATTTTGTTGTTAACGAAGTTGCAGCAGCGAGTGAAGCGTTTCGTTGTTGAATGGTAACGAGGCAAGTTTCGAGCGTTAGAATCGTACGCGCGAATGTGTTTAAGCGTTATTTTTAACCGGATGTAACGATACATTTGAGATTTGATGAATTAAATATTATTTTTCACTGGTTATTATCCTCGAATTCAGACCGTGGCTTTATTTCGTGTGTCCATTTCAAGTGGCCATACCGGCACGGATTTTCGCGCACATTTTCCACCGCAACGCTTTGATTTATTCCTCGCGAGCGGCTTTCCCTTTGAATAGCATTTTGCATGCTCCCGTTTAGCGTATCCTGGGATATGAAAATTCATCGGAGGCTATGATATATTTTCAGCCCAGTGGAATTAATTTATTTGCGAACGAGAGTAAAATGCATCTACTGAAATCTACAATGAATTCATTCGTGAATATTTACAACGAACAGTTAACAAATCTTCTATGTATTTACATTATTCTATGTATTATTATTGGAAATCACTGCGATGAATTGTATTATTTCTGAATATATTATCATACCAAATAACAACACTTATAGTATATCAATTTGTATGGTATCTCGGCCATGAAATTATGTCAGATTTTCTGTATTTCAAAATCAACCAACGATAAATGGTGATTATCGATAATTTTTCAGATGCAACTTCCACGGTGCATGTACAACTGATAGCACCGCGCTATGTAACCTACGGGAGCACAGCAGTTCTCCATTGCAATCATAGTGTCTCAGATGCTTCCTTGCATAAAGTCGAGTTCATGAAGGATGACAAGACGATATTACGATACATAAAGGATAGGAAACCGCCGTTCCTTAAATGGGGGGTAGACGGTGCAAACATGGAGGTGAGTTTGATGCAATTAACCCGTGCCATCTCTGTGTTTCAATTATGCTTGCTTTAAGCAATTGTATAGTCATAATTATCCTTGCCATTAACTCCAACAAATAGGACATTTCTTACGGAAATTTATACTAATTACTTACATCAATTTAATCCGTTAATGACTGAGTCTAAATGTTCAATATTTAATTATTATGATATATGATAAAGAGAATTTATCTCTCTATTTTTTGGAGGATATTATATTACCTTGTATTAGCTGAATTTTATTACGAAAAATTGAAAATTCTATCTTTATTCTGATGCGTTGCTTCGTTTCTGTATAATTGGGATCGTGTACTTATTAATAACTTCGGTAGAACAAGGCTTTAATGATACTTGCGCACGAATATTGTACCATGAAAAAGTAATTCATCGGTCTAATGCATTTAACGATTCCGCGATGCCTTGATAAATGATCGCGTGTTCCCCCCTTTTCCTATTGTTCGAAAACTTTTTACAATATATATTGCGACCTTTATGTATCGGAACGTGGAAACTGGAAATTTATTTCTATCTGTATAGTCAGCGGCCATTCAATTCTTTTATTTTTATTTTCGAAAGGAAAACAATACCAGTGAAAAGAATACATTGCGATCGATTAAGCTTCAATAAAATCGATTAAAAACAAATACATAAAGCGGTGTACAAATTATTTCTGCAAATTGTAGTTGAATTTTGTTTTACGTTTTTGTTTATTAGTGGTCCCATGTGCGAGAATATATTTGTATTATTTTCTTTTTTTTTTAAATTTAATGCCCTTTGTTTCTCGATAAAATATTGCAAATACAAAAAAATTTACAACCATGTCGCATTTGAAAATAGCTAGGTGTCTTTTAAATCGAACGAGTCGATAAAAATGACACGTTACCTCGTTCGTGGATCAATCTGTTTGAGTAATATTAGTTGATTAATCGTTTAATTTGCAGTCGCTTTGCTTTTGATAGGTTGTCGCGTGAACGAAAACGTGGTAAATTCCGTCAACGATAAAGTTCCGTTTAAACGACGAATGCTTCCGCTTTCCGAAGACGAATTTATCCGGAAAATTTCTCGATAAAATCAGGAATTTATCAAAAATAAGGAGAATAGTCTGATGGAAAAGAATTTTCAGGTATTCGAAGGAAATTCTTAGGATTAAACATTGCTTGTTCCATACGAAAATAATTAGTTCGAGTACCTATTTCTTTGATTGCGATGGCGATGAAAGAAACACGTCGTTTTTTTTTTTCCTTCTTTTTCCATTTCTCGTGAACTTTTAAACGTAACCAGCCTGCCTTGCAATTTTACATCCCCCGTGTTTGAATGCCTCTAATATGATGGCTCTTAGAGAGTTGTTCGGATACAGGCCGCAAAAGGAAAAAAATTTCATTTCGCGAACTAATGTCGTAATAAAGTAATGAAAGCTTAAAGCCCGACTGAAAAGAAACCGTGTTTGTACCTTCGTTTCTTCTAACGTGTAATTACACAAGGGTAGAAAAAAAAAAGAACACATTTTGGTTGATGCCTTGGAGCCTTGAACAAGAAAATTACATGTTTTTCTTCGAATTTTCCTGTTAGTTTCCTTGTTACTTCTTACCTTATAATCTTTCCTTCCCTTCGTCTGATTAAAATCGTTTCATACTACTTGCTCGTGGAAACTTCCCAACTTTTCCTATCGCATCTATCTGAACGAGACACGGTTCTTTACCCAACTTCTGTATTATTTGAAAATTCTCATTTTCTTTTGCTTGATGCGTTTTACTTGTTCCAATTAAGTAGTATAGACCGACATTAGTCAGACGAAGCATACTACTCTCTGACCAAATGTTGTATCGTTCTATTTCCTCGTCTAAACTTTTCTACGATTTAAAAATATTTATTTTCTGTAACTGCTATATTCTAAATATTAAAGCAGAACAACGAAGTGTAAAAGGTATTCGAAAAGCAAACTTTTCAGTTCTTCCTTCTGCAGCTGTCTGATCAAATACGGTACTATTCTACTTGATAGACTAAGCTTCCCGTTATCTGAAATCTTTTTGTTTGTTTGTTTTGAGAATAAGGAAGGGAAAAGTATCAGCGAGAAAAGTATTAGTTTGACTAAACTCGTTCTATACTATTTGCTAGGGCAAACAAACTTTTAAGATCGTCTGATCAGATACGGTACCATTCTACTTTCACGGCTAAACTCTGCATTATCTAAATAGCCTTTTCATTTCTTTGTTTGTTGCGTTCTTTAAGCGAAATGGAAAGAAGTTGAGAGAATGGTATTCGTCCGATTAATATCATTCCATTCCACTCACTGGAATAATGAAAGTTTCAAGGTTTCACAAGTTCCACATTATCGGCAAATTTTCTCTGTATAAATTACAAAGGGGAAAATAAAGCAAATGAAATTGATAAAATGAATTGAAATGAAACTTTCAAAAATTAACCCACCGTGAATGCAGATATGAAGATATTAAGTTTATGAATTTCGCTCGATATTATTTACTGAAAATAAACCGTACTCGAAATAACAGAACGTATCGTATCTCTGAATATTTACGTTTCGAAAGTTAGAGGAGATTTAATAAAATATTAATGCGACACCACGCGAACGCAGCGTATTCGTGTTCGACGTTTCACAATATGCATAAAACAGTTCGTGTCGAAAGAAAGATGAACGAGCTCTCGTATGCATAACGCGAAACTTTGATCCGATAAAATTAATATTAAAATATCACGGTCAAATATCGTTTGAATTATCCGATGGCTTATCTCGTTATCGACGATATAATATAGCTGTCGTTGATCATCGATTATAATTACAAGTTAGTTAATTATCAATACAATTTAATTTATCGGTCATCAGTAACATTTAGTAAAATTCAAATAACTCTATCAGCAGTCTGTTATTAATTACAAAAGAATCGGCTTAAAACCGCAGGAATAAGTGTTAATTCTCACCACACTTGCATTCTATTGTTAATAAGGAAAGGGGTGAATTTCGCGAACAATGGTAAGGTTCAACAATCAGCATAGGAATAGGGAAAATTTTCGTGATCCGTGAATAAAGTGTTAAGTTGAAAAGGGTTATTCGTGCATAGCACGAACGATTTAGTTTGCGTTGTAAGGTGCATTGTACCCGAAACGTCAGTGGTAACCTAGAAAAAGTGACGCATACACTTTATCGGCGGCTAAACGCGTGGGTTGTTCTGTTTGCCTTGTTCCCTATGCCACGGTATATCCGGCTGCGATAATACCAACCAGTAGACATTATAGTTGAGAAGCGTGGCAGCTTGAATACCCGTAAAGATGAACAGTCAACGGTAAACAGAATTATACCCTTTCATCTACCAGACGATGCTTGAACAACGCTTTGTTACGATTACTTAATATTCAACACCCGCTTCTTTAATACTTTTTATACGGCTATAACAATATCAATACTGCAGGGCCGGCCCCCCAAGGTCCAGGGCACCCATAAGACGATTTTGCGTTTAAGAGTGCAATTAGTTATACGAGCTTTAATGTTAATTTTATAAACTTGATTTGAGGTACCTTTTTTTTATGTCATAAAGGGGCTCGCCTCGGACCACCTGCTATACGATATTATCTACATATGTTTATTAGTTTTAACGAAATAAGGAATGAAGGAACATTATTTATTCGAGTTACACAGCTTATAAAGAGACAAGTAATATGTATTAAACAAATAATTTGAAACTATTCCGTGATTCTCTGGTAGTGGTTAAAGCATGAATTCCGTAAACACAGTTATATACCAGCCTTTCCTCAGGATACGTACTTCCACCTCAATTTCAGCCGACGTTATCCAATCTCGTTCCACATTTCCTGCTATATTAATCCATCTTCTAGAGCCACCGTGAAAAGTGCTCATCTCACATACTCGGTTTACTCCGAGAACCTCGGAGAACACTGTAAACTGCAAGTTTTTCTTCCGCTAGAAATTTACAGTCACTCAGATACTCGTTCGCATACTTTTCAATTTTAAAGAAAATTAAAATATCTGTTCTTCCTCGTTTCTGAAGTGTTCCATGTTTATAGAAAGATTAACAATTACTTTCCAATGGAAACATTTTACTACACCTTGTAGAATATTATAGAAATGAAGTAAAAACGTCTGTTCGAAGAGAACAGTGCGAACGATTTACCAGAGGAAATTGAAATTGTGCGGGGTATTAACGTAACCGGATGTTCGTATCGGGAGACAATATCTAGACTGACATCCTTAGACAGTAGTTATGTGCACGAGAGGACATGGAACTTTTAATAAAAACACGTGTTCGTGACGAGTTCCATTGTCTTTCTTTCGTTCCTGTAATTAGGATTTTTTGGTGGGATGGGCCTGGCCTTTTAGGATTATTAATAGTATCAATATTTTTAGAATGTTAAAACATTAGAGTCTTAGAATGGTGAGAGGTCCAGTCAATATTTTCGGGAAGGGCCAAGTCTACTTTAGTTCTTTTCTAATTACACCGATGCTCCCTTTCACATTTTTTCTTTGCTAACACGTACACGATCAAACCTAAATAGTTTGATCTATTTTCAAGAGATCGATATGTCCTTTTTGAGCGTGCTCGCATGCAAGGGTCAATAATAATGTCGAGAGTACAATGTTGAAGGGTTTAGAACAAGTACGTGGAAAACAGTTGCGTGTTATTTAAGGGAAGTCTTAGATAATCGGTGAACTGTATGGAAAATTAACGAAACGATATTATTGATTGCTTACAGTATATGGCAAATGGCACGACAATCAAATTAAAGGACGTTCGTTTCGAGGCGTCTGGTTCGTATTCCTGTCTGGTTTCGATGACGACTCCTATTTATGCCCAGCCTTCCGACATCGTTCAAATGAAAGTCATAGGTAAGACATTTCTTTGAAATAGAAATTTTTAAATAAATAACACTTAGAGAGAGTTGAAGAACCTACGTTTCGTCTCGCGGAGCATAAATCTACGACATTTGGTCGCAACTCGCAAAATTTCAAAGTTTCGTACAAAAGCTATATAGAATTTTTAACTCTTTCTGTTGCTATAAACGCGAAACATTCAGTTACTCGTATTACGCGATTTACTTTTTCTGTTACGAAGAATCCCAACTTCGAAAAGTTTCCCCACGATTTGTACTTGTTCAATAAACTTCATATACACGACTGTTTGCACTCGTATGCTTGCAGCCAGAAGAGTAACCGAACGAACGAAATGAAATAGATATAAGGTGAGAGGCAAAAGTAAGTAGACACTGTTCAAAATAGAATATCTCGGTTAAAATTCGACTAAATAATTTGAGGTTTTTTGAGAAGCTATAAAAATTAATTCATTAAAATATGTATTTTCATCGTTTTGAGGTGAAAAGTCGCGATTTTTGGAAATTTTAGTGAATTAATTTTTATAGCTTCTCGAAAAATTTCAAATTATTTAGTTCAATTTTACTTTTGCCTCTCACTGTACGTAAACATATGAGGCAAACGTAATAGTAATAAAACTTTGCGGTTCTTTTTAATCGTAACAAAATCTGCTCGAATCTTACACACTTATGTTTTCAATCGTGACTGGAAAAAAAACAATTTACCTTTTGCCTTTGGCGGATTTCATACAAAATTAAAAAATGTCGAGTAATAAAGCTGCTTCTGATTCGTCCTTTCATCGATCGGCCAACTAATTATACAATCGTTCCGTCTATACCGTGCAATAAAATCGTGATAAAACACGATGTCTTTGCAATTATAATGCACCGTTCGAGCAGAAAAATGTTATATGACCGGCAGCTGCATAAAATTGCAGCGGTCGTATACCAATAATAGATACGAGCAAATACGGGGAGAATATATTTACAAAGGTAATTTTTCGAAGGTGAAATGATTTTTCACGGGAAAAATTAATTTTTCTCCTATTAAATTTAAAAATAAAAATATAAACGGTAGATTGGATGAAGTTTAAAAATACTGAACGATTCTTACCTGGTTTTCAGACCGTACAATAGTGTTCTAATTAGTGTTATGAAATTATACAGTACCACAGACTGAAAACCCGAAAATCACATTCAAGAAAGGAATGTACATGGTGGGCGAAATTTTAGAGGCGAATTGCACCTCCTCGGCTGCGCATCCAGTTCCTCACTTGACTTGGTATATAAACGGCAAGGAGGTGAGTAAATATTACGAATAATCGATCAACCTTTTACTTCGTAAACGTGTTAATTTTGAATTACTAACATCATCAAATATTCTATTAATTTCTTATCTCCACAAATAAATGACTGAGGATTGAAAATGCAATTTCTGATGATCGCCTATATTTATAAAATTCTTGTTCATTTTGTTAATGTTAACGGGTGTTCCGTCAGGTGGATATTAGCCTGGTTAATCATTATCCTCACACGCGTCACAAGGACCAATTGATGTCCGCGACTGCGAAACTAATGATAGAGGTTTCCGCGTTGCATGCAGGGGAGAACGGATATCTAGAGATCAGCTGTTATTCCACCATTCCGGATTACCCGTTGCACCAGGAACAGTACGCTGATGTCAGGGAGGAAACGGTTTCGGGTAATTATTTAATCCTTAAATGATTTCGTACATTGCACTTTTATGAATTATCTTCTCTTTAACTTAACAACGAGAACCTGCCTCCTATACTGCTTCTTTTTAGCCAACCCGTATCTAAGCTTGAAAATCTTGAGAAGGGGGCTATAGTATTTAGATTTCGTGAAAAAATTCTTGCGCCATTGTGTTTAGTGGGTAAAAATTCCAACGAATGGCCGATTTTTTCTTTTTTTTTTTTGCCAGTTCCAGTCTGACCGGAAATGACTGAAAAAGAGTTGGCTCTAGAGCGAATCTCGCTCTAGTTAACTTTGGCTTGTTTTAATATTAATAACGATCCGAAGAAATATTTAATGAAATCGATTAAATTTGCAAAGAATAAACTCGCGCATCATATGTTCGTGTAATTAATTTATCGAAAAATTCACTTTAGATACATTTTCAGTACAGAGTGACCTATTTATTTATATTATTTTTTGAAACTATGTAATCGATCGCTGATCGATTCTACCCAAATACATATGTACAAATCACTTCACTTTTTCTATAATACTTTACAGTTACAATTCTGCAGCAATCAATATATTGTAATTATTGAAATGAAATTGAACAAAGAATGTGTGGGGCACATATGTCTATGTAATCACTATTGCAAAGGATTTTATTTAAATTCAGTTTCACTGTTACAGAAAATTTCTCTGTAGTCATTGAATATTTCTAAAAGAATTCCAATTAAAAACTGGAACAACTCAATATTCATGATCCCTTTCATATCAATTTTATAGATTTTCTATCGTAATATAAAATATTTTATATTCTGAATATTTTTTATATTGAAATGAAATATTTTCCAAGTTAATTCCATTCTGGAATGCATCCAATCGAAATTCAGTTAGCAGTGCCTTTTGACATTTTCTTTCCCTTGAAATCTCTACGGCCCACGCCAATCAGGATGCACTCAAAACTGTTGAAATTAGCAAATTAATTCGCGGATGTAATACATCCCACGCTGCGAATACATTGGCAAACGATGAGCGATGCAATATCTACACCTACATCATTATACCATTTATAAGTAATTATACCAGTAGCGTTTTTTAGTTTATCAGATAATTACATTTATTAGAAACATTTTTACCATCATTCGCCAGTGTACCAGATTGATTCTCTAACGCGAAATCTGGTTGTTCCAGTGGAAATAAAACCCGCGCCGATCGCTGAATCCTCGAGGGCCCGTGGATGGCCCTTAGCTACATTACTATGCATCCTTTGTACGATGCACAAAATCATTCCTTAATAAAAAGTCAATTGCTTTAGGATAATTTAACGAAGGAACAGGAAGAAAGAATGAAAGAAAAAGAAATGAACAACCTAATTGTGTAATATACGTAACGAGGAGGTAACAAGCGGAGATAAGGGAGAATCGAGGGATATATATATATATTATATTATATACATATACGTATATATATATTGAAGAACGAACAATCACAATGTCTTCCTTGATTATACCGAAATACACGGGGGGCAGCGATTTTATTGTCTTGCAGAAAAAAAGAAAAAAAAAATTTTATAAATCATAGACGCGGCTTCTTCGTGCAACTATTTTCGATTGTCGCTTGTATCGATCGTTATCTATTTCGCGAATTATAATGAATCGTGGCCACGGAAAACGGCGAATGAGATACCGTAGCGCATAGTCGATTCGCCGATGATTAATAATTTCTTCTTTACACTTCCGCTACCGTCTCTTGTCATCACGCGGTACCGCGTGCTCGACCGTCAACCCTTTAACGAGAAATAAAAATATACCTTGACCCGAGGAGAAAGTTCAACGTATGGTAGCGAATGTGTTAAAGAGATGCAAAATAAGAAAAAAAAAGAGGATGAAAAGGGACACATATTCGTAAACAGATACATACATACATACATTACATACACACACGGGCGCATTTTCTAACAGATACATTTGTCGGCTCGACCGCAAGATTAATCCATTTATCGTCGTTCGTATATTCGTGTTTTCCGTTCAAATCCTTTAACCACGTTGACAGACTATTGCATAGAATAATTGTGTTCGTGAGAGATCAAAGTGGGGGAGTTTAATGTATTCGCGATAGTATATATCAATTACTGTTTCACCTAGTTTTTAGACGGCTACAGTGTTACTCTCTTTAGGTGAGACACCGGTTCTATGCTAATTAGAAGGGGATAGAACCATCTATTTTGTATTGTTCAACGTTTTATGTGATAGAGATGATAAATTACCAGCAGGTACCAATTTAATATGTTCACCTATGTATGTGTACATATGATTAAGTTATATTATTAAGAATTGAAAATAGCACTTGAAACATCATATTACAAATTTAACCCGTTCAAGAAATTATCCACATCTTTCGTTTTTCATTTTTACTCAAACGTCCGTATTGAAACAGTATAAATAGCAGGTGAAATTGTATTAGCGAATTATTTCCGAAATTATTCATCGTAAAAGCAATTATGTGTTCCTGAATAGATGAGTTTATTAATTCACCGCTTAAAGGGGTAATACTGTACCCTTAATATGTGTAAGATGCAATCTTGAACGTTCGATGAATAGATAATTGATTCGATCGAATGTTTCTATCGACCGATACACGGTGTAATTGAATGTCAATTGGTAAGTCGAATTTCTTGTTCGAAATTAAGCTACGTAATCGTTGTTCGAGGTGAATGTTTTTTAAGCGTATTTCTTATTTCAAAGTTAACTTGGAATAGTTGAAATCTTTTATAGTGCAAATCGACGTACCTTTAAATTGTTATTTTCTAGTCATTAACTTACTTTTATATATTCACACCTGTAACTAAAGATGAGCATTGCGATCAATTATTTGAATCTATTTTACATCCTAGTTCGAACATGATCTAAGTGCTCGTCCTAAATGCTAATTTTTAAGTAAAATCGACAGATTACGATGTACCTATATATTTCATATATATATACATATATATATATTAAGAAAAAAAAAAAAAAATATTATGATAAGTTGTAAGTACATACGAGCTTCGTACGTGTGCACCTGAAAAAAGATTTCGTTTTTTCGTGTTTCTCAGATCTATTTATATACATGTATATTAAATATAGCGTACGCAGAATGTATGTTAGTCTAAAGCAGACATCCTATCGACAAATCAGAAAAACTAAGACTGTTATACCTTGTTATTATATCGACGATGTTATTCGTTTATGCTAATACAGTATAGTTGCTTTTCGTCGCGTTCCTCGTGTTTAAAAAAGAGAAATATCACAGATGCATCCTGTATACCACTATCATTACAGATTACCTCTATTTAAGACATTTTTCTGTACAGAAAGTGTTTAATTTTCATGGAAATTTTCTTTTTAAAATACCGGTGGTTTGTAGAGGAGATACAGGGACAATTGTTGGCAATTTTTTTAACGCTGTATTAGTAATTAAAATTGGAAAGGATTTATTAGAAAAAGTTAACAGGTTTCTGTAAAAAAAAAATCCCCCAAAGAGAGAAGCTCGTTTGGCCCCTCCGAGTAGGCATCCACCCTTAAGCCCTATTATCGTTTTTCATTGCAGCAATTTTACGATCGTCCTTATATCTCTTCGATCGACGATACACGCACACGTAGCTTGCCCTCGAGTGCCTGCTTCATCGCATAACAACATGTGCTATTTTTAACAAAAAAAAAAAAAATATGTAACGATACAGAGGGGTAGTGAAAGAAGTTACAAAGTTCGCGGTTATTTTGTTATCGTTATCAAGCTTGTCAAATCAGTCCGTAGGAAAACAAGGTGTAATTATAGAATATCCTTGCCTACGCACCGAGCTCACCACCTCGATCAATAAAATTGTGTATACGAGAGCTTTCCAGGGCATCCCACGTGTGCACAACTCTAAAACGCTTCCGTTCCCTTTTTTTCCGATGTAATGCGTTCTGTGAAACCGAGAGAGAGAGAGAGAGAGAAAGGAGAGACAAGAGAGCGAGCGTGTTTTACCTATAAGTGGTCCCTAGTAAGTGATACTTTTGAGATATCGTGCAACATATCGTAGCGTTATAATTACACGTAAAGAGTTAATCTTTCCGATCCTCACGGCTACTCGATCGTGCTCTGTTGTTCTCGAGAGGTGCCCAATAATAGCCCCCCCCGACACAATGGATACGCTGACGAGAGCACGTTCCAACTCTCTTTATTCTACTGGGTGAGTCACGATGAATAGAATCAACCTAAATACAACAATATTCGAGTGACGTTAAATGAAATATTCCGATAGACTGTGTTCACGCTGGAATTGTTGAGGGAGTTAAAACTGGGCGGTAGTTAATTTATTTGATTTTCCAGTTCACGCTATTTTACCTCGTGGGAAAGATCCGTTTATTATAAATGATAGAGTACTAGAATAAAGAAAAATGAGAGCAAACAAATTACTCTACTTATGTAAACTAGCCTTCGAGCCTAATAAACGGATTTTTTCTATCAGCCTTACTCTGCCAATGTAAACTGAACTTTAGAGATGGAATCCTAGCTTAGGGAGGATACGATAGTGTCCAATTCTGAAAGCATAGCTTGTGCCATTGTTATTAGAGAAGAATTTCCTGGACTCTGTAGAAAAATAATTTCTTCCTCTCTTTTACAAAAACCGAAGCGATTCGTGTGTAGTGTTTTACGATTCACCTTGTATAGAGGCAGCGAGCCGCATATCGGGAAACAAAAGGTGGTTGAGCCGCGAAAAAGGCGGCAATTCACGGTGCTCGCAAACGATCAAGATGTTGTTGTTGTTCCTGTTATTGTGCTCTTTTCAAGCGTTCATCCAGCCTGTTGACGTAATACTTTCGAACGAGTTGAAGAGAAGCAGGAAAATCCTGTCGACAAAGTCGGTAGCCGCGAGGATAGTCGGCGGTGAAGTGACCGACATACGGAAGTATCCGTTTCTCGTAGGTGAAATGCGCCCGTGATGTTTCCTATATACTATTCAATCTGTACAGGTTGTTTAAAAGAAAAGAATTCAAGATTTTACAGAGAGAAAAAAAAAAACAGTACTCGCCAAATTGAATACAATCATCAAAGACTCAATTTCGCCATCTGAGAGAATTTTTTCTTAATCCCAACGAGTGCTATATATTCTGTAATGTCTAAAATCTTGATTAAACATCCTGCAGATATTCGAATACCTCTGATTACTTTCGAGAGATGTAAAAAGCTAAAAGAGGGAATCAGTGTCGAAACTATGTCAATTTATAATCTTTCCTAGCACGTGTCGTAGGCTAACGGAGATCGGTTACGAATTATTTTATTATTGCCCGTAGAAACTAGCGGTGAACGCCCAATATCCTATCAATGGAATTGAAGTAAGATCGAGATGAGGTTGTTTGATTCCTTCGAAAACAGGGAAATAAGTTATAGTAAACGAACGGATGGATCTCTCGAAATGATTCAGAATGATTCGTACGCGTGTCACGAGAGGTTCGCGGATGACGAAACCGAATTTTTAATGTCAATTTCTGGTAGGTCTCGGTCCAAAGGCGACATATTAGCCATACCTGCGGAGGTACTTATATAGCGCCGAGATTCGTTTTGTCAGCCGCTCATTGCATGGTCAGGTGCGTTTTAAAATGTCTGTAAGACTGCAATACTTAAAGGTAGATTTATATTATCCGTATCTGTGATCCATAAAAACACACGATAGCAATAGAAAAAATTTACTCCCAATATTTTGCATTTGTTTTATAATAAATTATGTGATTTAGTACAAAATTTTCCATTAGCCAATGTACTTAAGTTTTAAACGAAAAATATTTTAAGAAAAAATCTTAACGTTCATTGTTTTATGTAAAATTTTAATTTTATCAATTATACCACCTGTTACATGACACTCTGTATATGCAGACTGTAATTACTGCTGGATATTCGATATTCTCTCTTGTAAGTCTTCAAGCAAGTCAAGCATATTCGAGTTTCAAATTACCTCGATAATTACTCCAAATGAAAAATTACTGAAAATTCTAATATTAATTCCAATCCAGTATAAAATAATCACTTTAAACCCGGATGTGTTCCATGTTTGAGCAAATAATATAAATCTATCTTAACCAAATCTCTTTGCTCTTCACCTTAAAATGGTAGCAGAATCATCGACAAATCAGTTTTGATTAAATTTTTCGCTATGATAGAGTCTTTCATTCATAGCGAAAGAGTTAAACATTTTCACTACTGATTCCTCCTACTTTATAATCCTATCATCGATTTCAAAAATATTCTAGTTGCAAATCGATGAAAACTCTTGCATTGGTGCTTTCAAGAAGATCCTATTTACTGATAGATTCAAAGTGCTTAGATAATCATTTTTGCATTGTTCTATTAATTCTAATAAGAAACCAAAGTGTGAGAGAATGTAGTTAGAGAAAATTAGAAATTTTTATAAATATTCATACTTGATCGAAAATTTGTCTTGAAACAGTAAGCCTTCAGATTCTATAATAGTTAATACAATAAATAATTAGGAATGTGAATTGAATGAATAGAGTTTCATGATAGCTTTTAATATTAGAGAATTAATTGAACTTTCGTTTCATCATTCAAAATATGAAATCAATCTGTTCAAATAAATAGAAAATCGATTTCATTTCGAGTGCTTGAGGCAACGATACCATAGGGATTAATTAGCTGGGTCGTAACGAAGCGGGTAGTAATTTACACGTGTGTTATTATTTTTCTATCGCGATCGTGAATGAAAGAGGTGATTTCATTGATTCACGCGTATTCTCCTGCTACCATTTTACAGTTGTAGAGCAGTCTTCGCTCGTAGCGCTTTCATTGCTATCATAGACACACGTATGCTGCTTTTCAGAACTTTGAACATGCTGAATACACACGTGTGGAATTAATTGGTCGCTCAGGGTGAAGAATAACCCTTCCCAGTACGCTGTCTAGACCAGTGATTGGAATTAAATTAAATTGAAAATAAATTTCTTTCTTGAGCGACCAATAAGAACCATAAATCTTTAGATTGCCGAAGGTGCAATCTAGAGCAAAGTGTCAGCGTAGAAAGAAGCTGTTATACTGTCACACTCTATGTACAAAACAAAAAAACAGATACCTACATTTTCTAAACACAAAAGACACAAAGTATGATTCATGTTCCCGTAATTATTTTTAATTGCGAGTCAGCATACGTAGTATTAAAAACAATGAAATAAGAAAACAGTAGCGATCGCAGCAGTGAAAGGGTTAGTGGCGTTAGATGTTATTAAACTTGTGTAACGATTAAAAAAAAAAAAAAAAAAATAAAAGATGAGGAAGAGGAGATAAAATTAACACCTTACCTACTGAAGTGGATAACCATCATCCTCTAAATATTATTATTTCAATTGAATTCTTAACTGTTGATTGTTTATCGATTGTTTTTCAGTCAACAAATTATAGAAGTCTATTAGCTCTTTTATTGCGACAGAATTAGACCCTCCAATCTACTTTTGTTAATACTAATAATTAGGGTCTACTATTTTAATAATAATGAGCAAAGAAAAGGACCTTTACACCAGCCTTACATCCTGAAGGAGTTAATAGACTTCCGGTTGGTAAGGTGTTATCATTGCGTAAGTGACAGAATATCATTGTGAAATCGTGTACACCGACATCGAGGGCGCGTTTATCATTTCCATGATACGTATCAGCTTTCTATCCAAGTTTTGGAAACAAGGAATCACTGGCCGCCCGTGATCGATCCATTGTATAAACATGGCACTGAAGAACGAAGAAAAATTCTCCAGGGTCCGATCGGCTAAGAAACTGATCGATTTTACGGTTGCTTAGACCGGCGTCCCGTGGCAAATGGGTACCAGAGAATCCTCACCGATTCTACGTGATCGCTGGAGCCACTTACGTCTACTTTCCGGCCTGGAGTTCGATACAGTTGGAATTGATCGACGGGATATTCCCGCACAGAGACTTTCAATTCACGGGCATGAATCACGATATTGGATTGTTCAGGGTGACTATTATGTGTATATATATATAAACTTTATGTGGAAAATAAAATGAAAGAAACACAGAGAAGAGAAGAATAGAAAGATATTGGGGATGAAAGGATCATCGCGTACAGTCAGTCACATCTAACCGATCAAGTTTCCATTCATTATTATTTATGGATTTCTGTGAGTTTTTTTTATTTTAAACATATTGATAATATTATATGTATGTTCATTATTTTAACTAACGTGTATTTGTTTCTTTTTTTTCAAGTGGAATATACGAATAGCAACACGTAGACTCTCGTGACTGACTGTAGTTTTGTTTGTCTCGTATTTAGCTACGGAAAGCCCTGTTGATTAACTCATTCGTGAAATACGCCACCCTTCCACCTGCTTATGACGCAAATATTTTTCAAAGCTACACCGCCTCCTGTACTGTTGTCGGCTGGGGAGTAAGCATGCCCGGATCTAATGTACGTAGTTCAACCATGTTATATTTAGTTATTTGTCATTTTCAAATCCTTTTGTTTAAATTATAATTCATCTACTTATTTTCAAAGCTAGAATCCCACGGAACGTTGAAGATATAAGGATTAGTATTTAGAGGGTAAATTGAAGAAAATATGTAGGGTAAATATAGATCGTAGGCGTGGAGTTTACGAGTTAAAGGGGATTAACCCCTTCCGAGGGAAAAGTGAAATTACACGGTGAATTATTTTCACAACGGGGGTTGAATGAATACATTCACCCCAGCCTTTACATTCTTTTTTCCCCTCGGGGTTGCTACTGGTTTCATTCATGTTTGTTAAAAGAAGCATGAGAAATGCTTTTGTTTATTTCCTCTCTTGGAAAACAAATATTGAAATAATTTAAAAGAATTTTTTAAATGTTGAATAAATGAGAATTTAAGGAATGTTTACTTTTGGAGATAGTAACAGGATGGTCATAAATTACTCCATGGTATTATGAGGGTTGAAATAGGATACGACTATAGCAGTGCGATATTTTTTTCTATATTACAATCTACACCCTTAGGAAATTCTCATAATCAAAACTATAAATTTAGCGCTGAGATGAAAACACATTAGCGTCATTTAACTTAGAGTAATAAAGTTAGTATTAAAATATCGTAAATTTTATTTAGCGAGGATATGGTACCTACCTTCGCCATGTTAATGTTTCACTAATCCCATCGGATAAATGTCTTGTGGAAGGACTAAATACAGAGCAGCATTTATGTGCAGGCTGGCTGGAAGGTGGTCGAGATGCTTGTCAAGTTCGTCATTTATTCATAGTGAATGTACGAGAAAAAATAAATTGAAAATATAGTGATCCTTATGGAAGTTTAAAAAATCCGCCAAAGCAAGTGGTGCCATCTACGGTTTGGTGTTAAAAATGAGCTTCTTGATTTCGCCGATAGGGAGCGCAAAAAGTATTTTTACTTTTAGTTCTCCTTGTTAACACGAGGGAGCTCCACCGTTTCATGGCGGCCTTTATTACAAATATAAAAATTTCGATGAATCTTAAACATTGATTTATTGAAAAATGAAGGCTTATATGAAAAAAGATCACTCTACATTTTCAACTTATTTTTTCATGTAGATTCTGTAGATAATTTCTATAACACAGGAACAATGAAATTTCAGGGTGACAGTGGTGGACCATTATTATGTAACGGGACACAAATAGGAATAGTTTCCTGGGGAAAAGGTTGTGCTCGTCCAAACTTTCCTGGCGTATATGCCCGATTAGATTTATATTTAGATTGGTTAAATGAAACTATGCAAAGAAATATTGCATGCCAAAGAAACATTCTTGATGTTATAGTTATACTTACAGCAGTGATATCTAGTACTCTGTGAAATGCTATAATTTAATTTGTAATATTATGTATCGTTTAAAAGTTTTGAGGATCATAAAATTAGTAACACATCTGATTTTCTTGTTTAAATTTATGTAGTGGGATATATTATTACAAAGTATATGTCGCTTGCCATACACGGAGATACATTTCTGTAATTTTTCAGGCAGATGCAATCCCTGTGAGATGTAATAATACTATCGCAAATATTTACAATAAAACACCTTGCAAGTTGCAAACGATCTGAAATACAGATGAATTAATCATGTCCAAATAATTGAAATACGAAGTATCACGTATTGAATGCTTCTTGCAACGACATAATAATGGTAAGAAGAAGAAGAAGAAGAAAAAGATGACCAGCTGTCTAATTGAGCAATAGACAATCAATAAAAATCTGAACTTGGTATAATCATAGAATAAACATCAATCGATCATACGAGTCGTGCACGACAAGAACAACATTTTTGAAAGAATAGATACGAATAAAGTAAAGACAGGAGCAACCATAGAAGGAAAGAGCAATCACCAGCTAAAACAGAGATTGAGATAAGAACAGAAGGGAACACACAACATGCACGCAAACACAAAGGAATGATTAAAACTCCTTTCAAATACAACTATGAATAGAATAGCACGCACGCAAGTTTCGCATAAGGAATACGAAAGCATAACACTAGATAAAAATTAATACAGATATTTTAGCTGGTGCAGAATATGCTAAATAAAATACACATCTAGCACGCATGAAAATACAAATTTCCAATCATCGCACAAATATACATATACACAGGCCAACCAGTCATGGGAAACGCAACGAATAAAATAAACTGGGAAACAAACAGACCAGACGTCACGATAATTACCAAAATAAATAAAATTACATATTTCATTGACATAGCCATATCTCGTGATCACAACATCGAGGCCAGATACTTAACACGCATACATTTAATAGAGGAAAGGAAATAGATCAATTTTATCTTTCAGTAGAGAGCAAGAATAACAAGGTTGTTGTTCCCGCTTAGCACAACTTGTGAAAACTTTTTTAACTCATTTTCTTCTTTTCCATCTTCTTCTTTCGTACGATTTTAATATCCTATGGAGCTGCCGTGGGTCCTTTTGGTTTGATCATCATCATAGCGCGTTTTAGAGTGTAATCCCAGCCTCTCCAACGAAACCATACGATACCTGATATGGATAACATTTGTCACGATAGAAAATAATGGTAGACAATAAAACCACGTACCTTGCCGAGCAGTCAAATCCTGGGGATCGTTCAAGTAAAGACCATTTAATCCACGACCGCACGATTTCCACCACCATCCACCTTTCAGCATTGAAGCACAATTCAAGGATGACCTGTCGTTATCTCTGTGTGATCCAAACCAAAGGTGCATATCAAAGACACAAATATAATTAACATCAGAGAAACAAATAGGAATGATCATTTTACCTGTTGTACGTGGAGAAAGGACTATTGTTTGAACCGTACCAGGGATCGTTCAAAGAATCACCAGCGTTCCCATCGTATCCATCTATTTCCAATTTGTAATATTCTCCTTCCGAATAGATTTTGAAATGAGAGTATTGCGCGTACCTGAAGAGAAAGATTGATGTGTATTTGAAATGTTAAAAGATATCGAATTACTAGGAACTGTTAATTAGAAGATGTTCGGGGTGATTTGAAAGGGTTAATGGTATACGTACGTACAAAGAAACGCGGACGAATGCAAACTCACTGCCCCATCGAATACAGTCGCGTTTATAACGCGCATCTTTTACTTTTACCTTTTGTTACCTTCAAAATCTTCCAGTTCCACTCTAAGCATGTAATCTTCGTTATTTGTTAACATGTATATGTTTTCATTGCCGAGCCAAAATTCTCTGGCAGGATCGCCAAACCCGTTCTTGTAGTCGGCCCAATCGCGATTGAAATTCTCCCTTGGTTCACCGAAATCGTCTCTTCTTTGAATAACCTGCGTATACGTCAAGGAAAAGTCGTATCAAGTCCTTCATACGTTGGATTATTTTGATGCGATGACAACCCTTTCTAGGTAACGCGAAGCGCTAATTGATACCTTGGTACCGACTCGACATGGTAATTACGAGTTGCTATAGTTTTGATCCTTGATTTGATATTTACATCATTAACAGCTGTTGCAACGTCTTTCACGATACGAAGAATAACCGAGGACGTTTGTAAGTGGAAATGAAAAGTTTCAAATTAATTCCCTTACCGTCCAACCACCTTCGGCTATATCCTGCTCGCAGTAAACTTTGAGGAACCAGTAAGTTGTCCCGCGTATCTGAAGATAGTAGACACCACTGTCTCTCATGCCTGCGTTCAATAAATCAACGCACGAGTAACCCTGTAAGAAAGATAAAAATGATATGATTTTTTAATTTTGATACGTGTCTTGTGAAAATTTTAATTTTCTTCTAGGTCTCACCTTAACATCTTTGAAACTGAGGAACGCATCGGTGGCGAAGGTTGAATTCGCTGGGCTTGGTTTATTCTTAACGCTCGGGAATATAACTCCACGATTTTTAGCCGAGGATCGTTGAGTATTCGAAGAGGATCCAACTATCCCAGGACTAGTGGTGGAGTTGATGGAATTGTTGAGACCAGCGCTGATAATGTTAGAATTGTTGAAACCAGTAACCGGGACGATATTCGACGACGTGGAGGACGACATCGACATGGAGACCGAGGATGACACGATGGTAGTTGGTGTTACTGGTGTAGCACTTGTCTCGGTCGTTATTTCTTCGGTCGATCCAACGTATCTGAATGAAAGAGAAAGGAGGTAGGATCGTCGTCCGAGATATCTTAACTACGAGGTAACGAAGAATAATTGATATCTTCTAAAACGGAAACTGACCTACTCGAATCGTATTCCACGAGTCGATCGATCGTTGGATCGAGCAACAGTTCCGCAGGTATCGGACGTTGACCAAGAGTACCAGGTACATCGTCTACCTGTTTACGCAACCTGTTCTCAACGTCTTCTAGATTCTCAATAATCTTGTTCGTCTTCAATCTGAAATCCTGTTGAATCTCACTGATCGCTCTTTCCTGTCTCTGAGTTTGAGAAAGCAATTCGTCCGATTTCGGTAATAGATTATCCACGGAACTTTTGGTGCCAACCTTTTTGAAAATCAAGATATCGGTATCGAGGGTTTAGTGAGAGTTAGTTTCAAGGATTAACAATAGGTATACATTAATTTTCCTTACCACCACGTTCCAAATTTGATCGATTTTATCGGACACCGTGATCATTGGATACATCTGTTGCACCAGTCGATCGATTTTACTTTCCTTCGGTGACACTTCAACAGCCGGTGTAACATTGAAGATTTGTTGACCGTTTGCGGTTGCTCCGACGAGTATCGCGTCGTGTACGTCCGTCACCATGTTCTGTATAGCACCCAAACGATCGGACACCAGATTCGTATGGAATTGTAATTTCCTATCGATATTGGTGGTCGCCTGTCGAAGATTCTCAATCTCGATCGTAACATGGTTGATCACTTCGTTGCTCATCGCTTTCGTGATCTCGATCACGCTCATGCTAATTGGTTTCTTCTCGCTAGCCTCAGCGTTTATGTCGTCGTTTTGTAAAAAGTTATTGTCCAGTTGATTCTTTAAATCGATCAGTTTGTTATCAATGTCCGAGACCTTTTGATCGAGCGACAATAATTTTTCACCGAGCGTTTCCGACGCTTCTGTGTCTTCTTGTTTCTGATTAATCGTTTGGATCGTCGAACCTGTTTCATCGGATGAATACGAGATTGTAGGTTGAACGTGTGCAAAACAGGAGAAAACGATCGTCAACAGAATGTAACAGGAATAAAATGGAGGAGAGAAAACGTTCGAGAAGAAACGACGGACGTATTAATTACTCCCCAGATATCTTTAACTATTTTTCTTTTCGATTTTTCTGTTACAAACGTTTACGATTTCACGCGTATCTATACGTACCGCTTTTAGCCGCGCTACCATTTTTGTTGTCAGAGGTTCTTGTCCCGTACGCAGGTTCGACCGGAAAGAAGCTTGATTGAGCATTGAACAGCTTTAAATCCAGTGTTCGCAGTTTCGTGATAACGGCATCGGTTTTATCGATGTTATCGTTCACGCGTGAATCCAAAGCTTCCACTCTTCTCATCAAATGTTCCACCGCTTTGTCCAGATTTTCGATTCGCTGCAATTTCGATTCCAATGTCGAAACTATCACCTCGAATACGTTGAAAAGGTATTGTTCTCTGAAAGCACAGTTTCAGAAAGATGTAGCGTCGAAACGTTGGAAACTCGAAAGAGAATTGACTTTTTAAATAGATCCTAAATTTTCTACAATTATCTCCGCCTCTAATTGATAGGATGTTCATCGATTTATTTGTACGATAGAAATAAGTCTTATAAAACGAACGTATCAACGTCTAAGCTCGATAAAATACAGGTAAATACTTGCTCGTTTCGTGGACCAGAAGTGAAAGTGTGCTTTTTTTAATGAGCCGCAACTCGTACCGTAAGTCTCGACGCGTTCGTTATTTAAGAAACAAAATTCTCGTCTCGGACGAGATACCCGTTTTTCCCGAAAAAAAAAAAGGATCCATGTAATACCTGTATAAGTTAAATGCTAAAAGGTGTCGATTTCAAGATCGATAATAAACGTGATCGATCGTTGGTACCTAATTAGGAATAACGCCGTTCGCGTAATCAATTTATAACGAATTTATTAGCACGACGACGGTGGAATTTTTTTTTTTTGAAAATCTTTGGTACGCGAATTACTGCAGTTACAAACGCTGTTACAGGGTCAGTGATCGTTACTCTGGATACCGGAGCGTTTCTATATTTTGTTAGAACATTTCTCGAAGGAAATTGTTGACGAAAGGGGGAACAGTGAACGGTACTTTGCCCCGAGCTAATAAACGATGTGCCGGTACAATTTAAACACTGTTAATTTTATAATGCTATTACAAGATAATTCCATATACGATGATTAATAAATATCAATTAATAGATGAACGGTATATAAAATAAAGCTTGATCTGAAACAGTTTCGAACGAAGTATCCTTTCTCTTGTTACGATGCAAGTTGTAATTTTACGCAATGTATTCGTAGGTAGGTCAATAGTTGTACCCTTGTGCTTACCACGATCCTTTCGAATCTTATCGTCATCGTCCAATCGTCTAATCGTCTAATCGTCCTTTCCCGCGCGGTACTGATATTTAAGGGAGATTCAGAGACATTAGAAATTATTCGAAAGCGTGAATGAAAGGTGGATAGGAAATTGTTTGACGATACTCGCGGAAGAGCCGATAGATTTCCAAGGTGTACCGATTCTTCTGCGCTTTCAATTTTTTTTTTTTTAATGTACCCACCGAGTCGTACGGTGAAAGCGCAAACATAAAGATTATCAAAATTATTCGTCGTAAAAGTAGTTTAGCGAAACGAGAGGAGAAAAACTAGCAACCGACTGGATGGAAAAGTGGAAGTGGAACGTTTAACAGTAGAGAACAGGCGACATTCCGCGATAGAAAACTTCCGTAAGGTTGCAAAAAGGGAAGAAAAAAGAAAGAAGAAGGTATTACGAAACGCGAATCGGACATTTCTAACAAAGATCGAGGTGAAATAATGCACGATCCTCTAAGGAAACGCCTGCCGTCGGCTTACGTGGTTCGAGAGGACAAAATTCTGCCACGTTGCTGAAAGTAACGAAAGTAAAATATTTCGAATTAGCCACGTTCGATATAGAGTCCTGGTATGTGTAGTTGTATCATGATTCGCGATCGTTCGTTCGTTCGTTCCTTCCGAGGAATCTAGCGAAGCTTGTGCAACCATATTGTCATAACTAGATCTTGGATTTGTTGCGCAACCAAAAGAAAACCAGTATATCCCATTATCGTCATTGTTGTTTCCATATTTGCTATATAATCGATTCTCATTCGATCACCTGTTATATGTTTTTTTCTAACGATATCGATACATTTTAGTGACACTCGGAGAATTTATTCAACAATTCCCCTTTCTGGGACATAATTTAGTTTCTAGTGAAACTAAAATTTCTTTTACGCAACGATAATATCAAAGGATCTGATTTTAACCCTTTCATCTTTTTTCTTTCTTGTCGCGTGCACGTTTCCAAAGGAAATAGCGGAGGGGAGGAAGAGAAAGCAGAGGCAAATTATTCAACTGAAATTTAATAACTGATAAAAGTGAAGATAACGAAAACGATAGAGTTTTACTAGAATATGAAGAGTTTTGAAAATAAGCTGATATTTATGATATATCGAGCTGAAATTATTATGGATCATGATTCAGATAGAGTTTTAATTTATGCGTTAATACAGGTGCGTGCATGGGCGTGTGTGCGAGGGAGGGGGATAAATAAAATAGAATGTACATATACAATTCAACTCCCTCGAATGTTCATTAAAATGATAATTAAAATTTTCAACAATTTACTTAAAACAAATAAGGGAATTTCGAGAAAGGGAAACGAAAAAAAAAAAAAAGGAAGAGAAAGGAACAACTTGATCTCTCGAAGCAGTTCATAGTAGGTGTCGTAACAAAGTAACGTAAAGAATGACAAAAAATATTTTTCTCCTATTATTGAACACCAAGTTTTTCCCAATCAAGGAAAACCTGCTACCATTAAAAATCGTACCTTGCCTGCTGTTTTGTCATGTTACATAAGCGAAAGTCTAACATAGGTCGACAAACCGACGGTACTGCACATGGCAATATACATGTAAAACAATGTGCCGATAAAATATATATATATATATTTTTCCTTTTTGCAGCAATGCTCTGCTGTATCAATGCGCGAATTGAGAAGATAAAAAGAGAAAGCGAGAAGAAGGAGAATATAAACCTGTTCGAGACAATAGCGGAAATTCTTACTTTAATTTCTTACGATTAACGCGATCGTAACAGAAACGACATCTCTTTTTTTTATTAAAGATACCTCTTTCGAGGATCCTTACGAAAGAGACATGTCTGTGTTCTTCTTCAAAGGATCAATGACACGTATCTTCTATATTTACACTTATATATTTCACGCGGTATATGGATACACAAAATGAGACCCGAATGCTACAGACATGCAGAAAACATTACATGATTTCTCCGACCTCCATTCATAACACAAAAATTGAAGAAGAACGAAAAATGGAAGGTTGAAAGGTGATAATGAAACATTGTTAGAGGTACTTAAAGTATCTTATTGATTTACCGATCGAAGGGAATTATATCAAAAGTAAATTGCCGATGTCCATGACGTATGGTTACGAATCGTGCACCACCTGTTTCACAATCGAAGCGCGGCGTGAAATTTTATGTAACCAAAATCTCGAACGATCACCTTCTCTTTTTCCTTCTTCTTCTTCTTCTTCATTTGCTTTTACTTCTTTACCGTTAAAAACTCATCGATCTATTAACGAACGTACAAAACATAAACGCGATTCATTATAAAGAAAGAAGCAACTTCGTTCAATCATTGATGTCCTTATTTTTATAGGAAGAAAGTCGGCATCGTTTGATCATCAGCGATGATTAACGTCTCGCCGACAAGCATTGGGACCGATCTTCTCTTGTTTTCTTTATTTTTAATAAAGAAAGTTGAATGATATCAACAACACCTCTAACTCACCTGTTTCGTTGAGAATTGCGAACGGATGCCGGCATCGTGTTTCCAGCGACGTTGCCTCCATTGTTACTAACGTTACGCGTGTTACGTTCATCGGCAGAGGTCCTGGGCAGTCTAGGACTTCCAGCGAACACGGCACCCAACAGGCAGGTGGTAATTATTATAGCCTCTCTCATAATCGAAGAGAAAAGGGTAACGCGAGGATCGATGAAGCGAACGAATACAATGGACCGGTGGTTACGATGACGAAGAGGAAAAGGTAAAGAAGATGAAAAAGAAAATGAATGGCGATATGATGATGATATCGAAGAGCAAGAGAAAGAGATAATAGTAAGTATTATAAAAAGTAAAGTACCGACACTCACGGCACGAGGATCACTTAACAATCGGTTGCTTGTTCGCAAAAGTATCCCGTTTCTCTTTAAACGAAACATCCATTTACCATTACCCGGCAAATGAATAAACGCACAAAAATAACTTGTCAACGATACACGCACCAGATTAAGTAGAATTTACTCTGAAGAATCGGTAAAAGAATCGGCGCGGTTCACAGGTAACAACGATCACTGTCAACGAGAATTGATGCTTTAACGTAGAATCGGAAGGATAACCAAAAGGATTTTCCTTTAAAATTATCCATTTGATTGTTTACAGTCTATTAATCGAAGTGCCGATAATAGTCACCACAATATTTCTTCTTTCAAACTTTCTCTTCGGAATGACATCGATTCTCCACACGTGTATTATACGTTATATTATATCACCGTGTATGTCATCCCGTTCTTCAAAAAGTTGTGCGAAGATCAGAGTTTACAGAGTCGAGTGATAAACGTCGAAGAATAATGCTGCACCGTGATACTTTTCCAAATCGGCTATATTTTCCCATATCTGCTTGCTCTGTGGGCCAATTTCTTTTCTCTTCTTTTTACTATCTCATCTTCGACTTTCCTTCGAACGGTAGACCACCTTGGATACTTTTTTCCTTTTCGATTCTTTTCGGTGGAATTGAACTTTAATGGGAGCAAGAAAATCGAAATATTGTACGTGATGTAATGTACAGTTCGAAGGGCTTTTAGCGAAGAGATCGCAAGGACGTACTCGCGAACCGCGCGTAATATTCAAACTTGAATAAAGTCGCGATCGTGCATACGGATCCGAATGGAGTTCGATTACGATCGATGAACTTATCGTTGACAGTAGTACCAAGATCTTCAGACGATTATTAAATTGATCCTGTTAATTTAATTGAGTAGAGATGAAAAATGAATTAAACGATGTTTCAATGAAGAAAATTCGTACTCGGGCCTGTTCGCGCTTGCGCGATTCTATTCTCGATATCTCTTAGATCGTTTTACCGAAATTTCGGTGAAAATTTGCACAGCGGTGCACAGCTGTGTGGCCACTGGTATCTTGAGTTGCAAGTCAACGACGAGACTACCGACACCATAAAGCACCAAGAAGTGTACGATCTCGGCTGAACTGTAAGAGTTACTTTCACGTACATACGTGTCCGCGCTGAAAGAGTACCTATACCTCTCCCCACTGATCTACCGACCATTCTGGTCTCTTTCCGTCCTTTCCCCGAGTAAACCTGTGATCCGATCTGAAACGATTCGATCCGTTTGAATCCGTTCTGTTCCGTTCCGTTTCGTTTCGTTTCGTTGCGTTGCCACTTGTTCCCCTTCCTTTTTCCGCCCCTTCTCTTCCCTTTCTTTTTCCTTTTCCTTTTCCTTTTCCTTTTCAATCTGTTACGTAGGTGACGAGAAACGAATGGGAATAATTCGGCTAAAAAGAAAGGTAGGATAGGGCCCCCCCCCCCGGAATCGAACATCTTTGATTATACTACCGCATAAATCTTGATCAGTGAGCTGCGACGAGCGGGTACTAAATATTTTAATCAATTTTACTCTTCGAAGAAGGAAAAAAGAAATCAGTGGTTATTTATTCAATTTTATCGCACCGACGTTTCAATTATTGAAAATAACGGACAACTATGTAGCAACATACGTATTTCATTTTTATATAAACGTCAGAAATGCATCAGATAACAGGGGTCTTCGAACGATAACGATCATTCGAAGAAACTTTGTTTCTTTTTTATTTTTTAAACATCGAGGAACAAGTAAGTGTATAGATAATACAACTTTTTAATTGTAAACTTTGTTCGACAGAAATTTCATCATTTTTTCATATGTGTGCCGATAGCTGAAAGCTACCATATGGAATGCGCTATCAACTTTGAAATTGCGCGCTCTTTCGAACAATTTTTTTTCTTTTCAATTTGAGAGATAGGAAAATCATTAATGTCAATTTTTTTTAAATAAAAATTTCTTCCAAATATCAATTATCTGTAGGAATTTGAATATAAAGATTCAATTTTTTTTTTTTCTTCCACTTATGATTACTCATTGTGGTACCAAATTTATTTCTTCCCTGTATGGGAGTGGAGAAGGATAGTTAGAAAAACTTTTCGTATCTCTCATATTTATCGAGTATCGATTCGATATAAAATATGAATAGGTACTTAGCTGCATACCCGTTGTTGCCATGAAGTTGTACATTCCATGATTATTAGGGCGCATCGGCGTTAGAAGTATGCATTAAGATTCCAAAGATGACCTCGGGGATGAAGAAACAGAAACTGAAAAATTGAATCTGGGATAAAGTAGAAATAGGTGTGATCTATGGAACGAGACACGTGTGCATACTTTTCATATTGTTTATTAACGTTCAATGTTTCAATATACGAATGGATAACATAAGATCGATTCGTTTATGGAGTCGTTCGCTTTTATTCTATTCTGAAAATCAACAGGAAAGGAAAAGAACCCTGTATAAATTATTTAAAAAAATTCTAGAAACAAAGTATATTCACCTATAGCGAACAAATTAATATCACCTTGAAACGGATACATTCGATACGTTTTTCAGTTGGCGTAGAAGCAGCGTGCTCACATTCGCGTGACAGACGTAATAAATACACGTTTCTGTCGCGTTAAAGGCAACTTTTGTTCCGTTCCGTTTGGATCCGTGCCGCAAAAGGAATAAAATGAACATACGCATCGATGTAGAAACAAGTTCGGGACTTTATTTATTGAATTATATATAGATTGCGCTTTCGAGCAGATAACATTGCTTAGGCATCGTTATTCTCGCTTTTACAGACTTTGAAATATACAAAATAACGGTGATTCTTTGTTCCAACTAAATAAAAAATTTATATATATATATATGTATATGTATGTATATATAATGCCACAAATATAAACTATCGACGCTCTAGTTCTCAATAATAGGGTCTCCGAGGATTATTCTGCAAAATAAAATTTTAGTCTTTAGAAAATATAAGGGTACAAGTAATATTACTGAAAGTAATCGTTACCAAAGGATTAGGCCTAAATCTGTAGGCAAGCATCATTCTTTTTCTATAGGCATCGAATTCATCGTCATCTCTGGATACACCGTCCGGTCTTTCGGAACCTAAACCAGCGCTATCGAATCTATTTGTTGCTCTGTAACAAAAGTTTCTTGTAATATACCATTTTATTCCCAAACGTGTCCAGAAACGAATTCGGTTCACTTACTTATTGATAGGGTCGATACGACCGTTACCTTCGCTACCTAATCCTTGCCCTTCGCTCCAACCGAGCTTCTGCAACATCTGAAATCCTAAAAAATAAAAGATCCTTTGATGCAACCATTGGAAATGATCATACGATCTAGCTTGACGAGGGTCGCGCTAACCTATGTTGTCTTCTTTGAGTTTGTACTCCTTGTAATCGCTAAGATCGGGTTCTTTCCCTTGCTTGACCGCGTTATATTGTTCCAGAAATTTCTTAAGTTCATCCGGTGGTAAAAAGTCACCGATATGATGTTTCCCTTCCGCTTGAGCGGTCAGTTCTTCGGCCCACATTTGAGTGGCCTCCATCTCGGCTGACCTAAGCTTGTGCTCCCACGTACCGCCTTCTGTTTCTTCGTCGCTATCGTACTCGTATTTATGTTTCCCTTGCGCTTCTAAACGTCTTACTTCTTCTCGTTTCTTCAATAAATTTTGGTACAAAAGATTTATCTGTAGGGAAAAAACAAGACGTAACACTATTGAAATTGAAACATCAGCAGAATAACAGAAGAATAAACCCGTGTCGAACCTTGTAATGATCCTCTGCCTTTTTCCACTGCTCTTCGGTTAAATCCAACGTACCAAATGTTTGTCGAGCATACTGTATCAAGGCAGGATCGTTTCGAGAAATTTTAGTCAGCATAGGATTCTTTGCCTCGGTACGTTGCATTTTTGCTGATGGAATAATAACGGCTGGTTGGCCAATTTGTCCAGGAATCGCAATGCCAGGTTGCAAAAGGCTGCCGCTTTGTTGCTTACGGGCAGTCACCGTATTTATTTCCGTAATAGGCACTTTGTTATCCGGATCACCCCAACGACTGCGTCTTTTTCGTTTACGTTCTTCCTTGTTGTCCTCCTTTGATCGATACGTACAATTATCCTCCGACTCCCTCTCTCTTTTCTTTTCTGTTTCTAAAAGGTAAAATGTGCATTATATAAAAGCTATGTTCTCTTCTTCCTAATATAATTCAGATTTCTGACCGACCTTGCGTAAAGCTGTGCTTGCCGATGTTTGCATGATCGTTATCGTCGTTATCACTGAGAGCTTCTTCCGGACAATAAGGTTCCGCGCCACTGTTCTTACTCTCCTTCGCGGATCTTTCGGCACGGTACTTTGCCACTAACCCCCTGTACTGCAGATACGCTGCACTTTGCTTTTGGTGCAGAAACCTTGATTAAAATAATACTTAAGACTCTGACGAGTAACATATTTTCCTAGATTAGCTTCCTTTGTTAGAAAAGAAAGAAAGATAGTAAAACGTGTAACTAATTGTTGATTTGTTATAACTACAAAAAGAATAGCTGATTAACGATGAAATATAAGTGAAAATTTTCTTTCATTTTTCATTATACAAAATGATATTTGACTGAGAACTTTCGTTAACTAGTATTATGGTATACTCGATCAGTTGGATAATATTACGGATAATGGAAATGTTATTAATACAATGCTGATAAGTTGTGAAGCAACTTTCCGTATCGTTAATTGTATCGTCCGCTACTCGATCGGACAAGATTAAGAAGAGAAAAAAAAGTAGCGTTGCAAGATTAAGCCTGTTCAAGCGGTGATGTGGTTAACACGTGTTGAAATAAAAGGAAAAACGAACGATACGGAAGTTGTAGGTATCTCGATGGAAGGGTGATACGACGCGTTAAAACACGAGACGAGGACCTGAGAGGACAGTAGTTACCATAATTTAGGATCTTGGGCATTCTTCTCTCGCGCTTCCTGTTCGATTTCATCCCCGCAGTCAGCGACGATGCGTGCCAGCTGCTCAGCCTCTACGGGACACACTTAGAAGCCTTTGTCAGACATGCGTAACAACGCTAAAACTTGTTTTATTTCTGTTCTATTCACTTGTAGATCTTACAAAATTTCATCTTTCCATCGTATATACACGATATATCTCCTATTGTATTCAACGTATCGCGTGCATGCCTGTGCTTAACTCTTTGCCAATTATATTTACAACGGGCAACATGGCCTTGGGATTAAAACGGGCACGAGGCGATACGTCGAAGTAAAAATGTATATATATGTAAATAATCGACTTATCGTACCTAGCTGTTCCGAAGGCCGAAGACCGATCATTGGCCTGACTGGTGGTGGCACTTGAAGATTGGGTGGTCCCATAGCTACCTGACTAACTTGATTAGGAAGAGGGTAACTGGTGGACATCAATGGCGGTGGGGCAGTGTTTTGAATCAAGGAAGGAGGTGGCGGTGGCGGTGGTACATTCGGCGGAGGGATGTTCAAGTTCGGCGGTGGAACTGAATTGATGTTCGAGGGCACGTTATGAACTGGTGGCGGAGCTGGCATCATCACAGGGGGTGGTACATTCGGTGGAGGAACGTTCGGCACGTTGGTCGCGTTCGGTACGTTAACCGTGATCGTCTGAGAGCCAGGAATCGGCATCATATTTGGTGGCATTTGTGTCATTGTCGACAACAAGTTTGGGGGAGGGATGTTCGGAGGTGGTAAATTTGTCGGTTGCAATGGTCCAGGTGGTGGCACACCGCGCTGTTGCGCGTTTGGGAACATACGCTGTTGCGTACCGGATGCCGTCGACGTTAACGTCGCGGACGGTGTAGACGGTAGCGAAGACATCGACAGCGGGGTCGTCAGCGGTGACGAGGACGACGTCAACGGCGAAAGATGCATCGTCGATGACGTTAACGGTGAAGCGGACGAACAGGTAGACGCGCAGGTAGAAGTGAAAGAGGAAGAGGAAGAAGGGGAGGATGATAATGGGAGTAATGCCGTTGATGAGGAAGGCGTCGATGAAAGCGGAGGTGGTGGTGGCGGCGGAGGCGGCAAGTTTTGTACATTAGGCGGTACTGTTCGAGCCATATGAATATTCGGAGGAGGTATATTGGTATTGGGTGGAACGGATTGTACGGAAAGAGAAGGCGGAGGTTGATGTATAGCGTGCGACGACGGTATCTGCATTCTTGGATTTCCAGGCTGGTTGTTCGTTCCAGAATAACTGTTTCCCGTAACTTTCGGAGGTGGTAAGCTTGATAAATTTGGAGGTGGAACGTTCGTTATGATATTTCCCATGTTAGGCGGTGGTACACCGGTAAGATGTATCATAGACTGAGGCGCGAAGGAAGGGACGTTGGATGAATTTCCGTTTGGAGGAAGAAATTGCTGTTGACTCTGCTGCATACGCTGACCATTGGAAGATGATTGATTGAAGGAACGTCGAGCTTCCGGACTTTGAGACGTTGAACGTCTGGTAGGAGACGGACTCGAAGATGAGCTGTGTCTTTTGTCGGAGTTTCTTCCCCAGCGAGAGTCGCCTCTTCGACGATCCCTTCTGTTCTCGGAATCTCTGATTCTGTCGCTGTTTCTTTTTTGTTCTTTCTCATATGCATTTTCTCTGCTCCCTTCTTCCTTTTTCTCTTCAGATTTCAATGGAAACATAGATTCTGTTTCCCCTCCGCCTTTACTATTATTTGCAATTTTTTTGAACTGATCCAAAAAACTACCATCGTTAGCAAATAAATTGATCGTTTGCGATGCTGTCGGTTTCTCCTCTTCTTTTCTATAGTAGAAAGTTTTTTTTTTAATAAAAACGAGACATTCTTGAACATAAAATCGAATGGAAAGCAGTATACATGAAATTTGCATAGTCCAAATATTAATGACTCAACGTTCGTTTGTATCTTTGTCCTTAACAATACACGTCACTCACCAATAACAATTGAAGAATTATCATGGAAGTAAATAGTTACTATAATCGTGTAATACGTAATAACGCAATTGGCACAATAATAAACTTAATATACGTTCAAAAGTGAAAATTACTCACTTGGTAGAATTACTCGCTTGATCGCCTGCCGAATTCGGCAATAGCGCGTTCGTTTTTCTCATGTTTTCCACAGCTTCTTTCGCTTTTTGCTCCTGCATCTTTGCCTGTATTTCAAGCTTCTTTTGTTGAATAATCTGCTCCTGCTTCGACATTTGCGCAAATCGCTCATTTCGTGATGTTTTTGAAACAAACGGATCAGAACCTTTCACACCACGATACGCCATATTTGTTATGTCGCAGACGATTCTTTGCAAGTATCAATGACTACAGATCCAACAAGACTGGACATACCATTGCTATCGAGGAGCCTTGAATCTGTGCCTCGGGAATAAGCGCCCTCTGGTCTATCCTATATAGTATAAAAATGAATAATCACAACGGAAAAAATATGATTTTGACTCCCTTTGATTCTATTTTTCAGAAGTCAGTTAAAATCAGCACAACACCTAAATAATAATTGTTTGACATACTTGTATTTCAAAAAGACCGCCGTAAATTAAATATTTTTAAAATTCGATCCTTTCGCCATCTATACAGAAACGGCTGAAACTACTCAACAACTTACCGACTGGGTTTCCAAGACAGGGGAACACTAGCGCACCTATCGGGAGATCGCGGAAACTAGTCGGTAAGTTGTTGAGTAGTTTCAGCCATTTTTGTATAGATGGCGCTGGGATCGAATTAAAAAAATATTTCATTTATTGCGGTCTTTTTGAAATACAAGTATGTCAAACTATTATTTTTTAGGTGTTGTGCCGATTTTAACCGATTTCTAAAAAATACAATCAATTCAAAGATCCAAAATTGTGTCTTTTCAGTTGTGAATGAACGGTATGGTAGAAGAGAGACAAATAAAACAGGCACGATTGTTATACTTGAGGGTATCTGGGAGTTCCAAAATCATGATTCCTTGAGAACAAAGGCATGTTCAGTCTTTCTGTAGTTGTAATTACTGCTAGTATCGAAGCATTATGGCTTCGAATTTCAAATCAACTAATTCTCTGATAATTTCACGTCGATATAGCGACACTAGCAACTCTAGCGGTAACGCAGGTGTAATAAAATAAGAAATTAATTCATTAAACGACGCAGGACTTTTAAATTTTCTTGCTAATTAGGTAAAATAAATTATTTATACATTTATTACAGTACGTTTGATTTATTATTACCGATCGTTACTAATTTTATATAGCCGAATCTGTGATTGATAATAATACAGCTTTCAATTAGTCATTGTTTAAAATCTTGTATAGGTATTGATACACTTAAGTAAATACTTCCATACTTGTTGCGAAAACGATAAAGACGTATATAACATATAAGTCAACTAATTAATACGGTAGTAACTATGGTTACAAAGGAGTTATCGATGTCATACATATTACGATTCTTCTGAAGGCTAGGAAAAAGAAAGTGATGTGATTTTCGATTCCTATTAATCAAAATGGATGAGTTTTTAACGGTGCTTGCAGAGAAGGTAGGTAACTATAAAGATATCGTTTGTACGTTTTTTTAAGATAAATTTTTTAATAAAAGTATATAGATGTCGGAGTCGGAAAGATAGCCACAGAAAATTTTTATTCAAAAGGAAAAATTTTAATCGGAAAGATCGAGTTATTCTGTCAATTGGTAAAAAATAGTCCAAAACGATATTTGATAGAACAATCCCAGAAGACCGAGTTATACGATCTTACGGCAAGCATTGATACTCTTACGCTTCAAGTAAAACGTACGTATGATAATAGCAATTTTGAATTGGAATAATCAGCAAACAATGTACAGTATCAAAGCATGGTAGACCTTCCCTGGGTTCCCGAATTCCCGGTCCTCACCGGTCCCTCCCAGAGGAGGAATCCCCTTCCCCGTGCTCTCATCGCTCCTTGGCAACGGTCCTAAGGATAGTGACGATATAGGGGTGGAGGCGCTACGTGTATAGGTCCGTGACTCCCCTTTTGCTTGCGCGCGAAAATCTGAATTGATATTTATTTTACGATATTTCTTCTCAACAGAATGGACAATTGCTCTTCAGGAAGAAAAATTAGATTTTTCTCGCTTCCAGGAAAATATTGAAGCAGACTGGAAAGTGATGAAATTAACAAAGAAAAATATAGATGAAAATTTAAAGGAAAAATTAACAGCTATCATGTAAGTTTCCCTGTATAACAAAGTATGATTTACTGATAAGTCTGTGATAATAATTAATAAGAAAATGTTTCAGTGCAGAATATTCATCAAAGATGTTAAGTAGAAATTTGGAACACGAAACGCGAAAGAAGTTGCTACAAATGGACTTAAAATTGTTCGAGGATCGTTTAAAACGCACTAGTAATATACGTTATTCGAGAAGAAATGAGTTATACGACGCATGGTAAGAGAAAATTTGAACAAAAAAGAAGTTACGAAAACCCGTTTTTATTAACATTAATTTTATTACAACGGTGTACAGTCTTAAAGCGAAAAAGGTATGCTTCGATCAACTGAAAAGGTACGATAACAATATCGGAGTACTTCATACTTGCAAAAGTACTCTTCTGATCGATGCAGACGTTATTGAGAAAGAATATTTTATTGTTCAGGTTTGTCTTATCATTTGTTCAATAAAATTTACCAACCATACAGTTCTTTGTGCAGAACCCAGTAGTAAGCTTATGCGTGTTTGTTTGCAGAATCAGCTGATTCCTCAGCGTGCATTGTACAACCAGTTGAAAAAGGAATGCGAATTAAACGCGAGAGAAGCCCTTTTAAGAAAAGTTGAACATTTTCGTCGAAATCGCGCAGCTAAAATCATTCAACGATATTGGAGATTTTACTATATACGCGTGTCTTGGAAGAAAAGAAAAGGCAGAAAATAATAGATTCGATTTAACTTTCACGCGGATTTGCAATTACTATATCGAATAACATTAGTAACGTGTTTAGCTCAGAGCAGTACGTTTTTTACCCGGAAAATTCTTGTTAAGTATTCAACTATATTGATCTTCAGCTATGTTTAGAAAACCCCTCTAACCCCTCTATCTTACTCTCTCACTCTCTCTCTCTCTCTTTCTCTATCACCACCCTCTCCGCGATACTCTAATCCTCACTCGAACTTCGTCACCTCTTCTTAACTCTTTCCTCTTCTCACCTATGATCAGACTACATTGTGTATTTCTTTCCGTATCTCGTAGAGACCTGTTGAAAGGAAAAAGTCTAAACTTGTACAAAAATCGTTCGATGATTTATTGATAATTTTGGAAATTCGACGATTATCCTTAACCACTTTTTTATTTCCACTTCATGGAACTGGATCGAAGAAACTGAAATTCTTTTCAAGTTTTTCTAACATGATCGTTATGGAAAGTGAAGATAAATGATAAAAAGACCGTGAGAAGGAGAGAAAAAGAAAGGGTAGAAAGTGAAAACACGATACGCTGGACTGATGTCGAGGACAGCAGAGAGTAAGCTTAGAAAGAGGGTGGTAAATCGGACAACTGAGAAGCAGGGTTTAGTTCGGTTAATAGTCGCGCGTAGGTCCGACGCATGCTCCGAATGATTTTCCCGGGGTGATATTCAGTCGGGCAAAGGGAGCCACGAGCCAGCAGCCAAGGCTGGGAAACGTTCGATCGTTACGAAGTGAATCAGTTGGCTGGCCGGGCGTACCGCGAACACCACAATTTGGAACATGTACAAGTATATCGATCGCTATCCTTCCTACCTACGTACGGTTTGCTTTTTTTCAACTAATTTATCCAACGTCGATGTACGCGTCTGACGAATGTCTAATAAAATATAGTTTACAGGAATACTGATCGTTCGATTTGTTAAGAGAACGCACGGATACGAAGGAGATAACTGTTGAAAGCAATACTCTACCTACTGTCCAGACGAAATGAAACCGTTCGGCATAGAAAGCTTGATAAATTAAAATTGCTTGCAATCACGGAAGAGAACTGGTTAGGGTTACAATTTGATTGTCAACGAAGTCAACGAAGAAGTCGGAAGCAATATTCGATAAAGATACAATCAATCGTTTGGATGCACGACGACGTGGAATAACCCGACCCGACCCGACCCGACCTGAACCCGACCCAGTCTCCCTTGTAAAACGAATGCGCACCACCTGTAGCTCGATATCTACGCTTGAAAGGTCAATCGCCTTTCGATCGAGTTTCTCTCATCGAATGTAAGTCAAATGAACGTTCATTTTCGTTCCTCTTTTCGCCGATGTGTACATTATAAATGATCACTACAGTTTCACCAAGATGTAAGAATATTTTACTGGAAAGAAAAGGAGAACATCCTCGGCGTAGATACGTGCGAACGATGGGCGAGAAAGGAAATAGTAACTCTTCTAAATGGAGTATGGAGGAACGTGAAAAGATTTTGGCTACTGGAACGCTGGAACAGAAAAAAGAAGCTTTTAAAGATGACGAAGAGTTGATGAGAGAAACTGCAAAATTTGTAAGCGAAGTGATCGAAACAGCAGCCACGGAGGCTTCTAAGAGGAAAGTGCACTCGGAGGTAAAATTTCATTTTTCAAATCACCGGTAATCCCGATTATTTGTTAATTATTTAATGTTACGTTTCAGTCGGGGGATGCGAACGAAGGTAAGGGTAACATTGGAAAAGTGATAAAGAAACGTGGACAAGTAGATATTACGAGAATTTCTTTCGTTTTTGTTACCGTAATTGAATTCTCGATATCTTTGCCACGTTGCTTCCTTTACAAAAGAAGAGACACTCGGTACTGATGAAACAAATAAAACGTATGTTTACGTAGGAAGTAAATTGAAGGCCATCGAGAGCATCGCTGGCTGGAATCATCGTGCACGTGGATTCTGCAATCGAATACTGAACGCGCTATGTCCGTGTTTCACTAACAATGGTAAATCGTAGATCGTTTCGAACGTAGTATGCAATTGCTATTGTCGCAACTCATTTCCTAATCTAATCATAACACTAATTACGTATATGCACGAGTCTCATATATTTTACAGTTCACGATCCAATATTCGACAATTGTTTTTCTTTTGTCAACAGCCAAAACTGTTTTGCCAAAATTCTTCCGAGCAAATTGATTGTTAATATTGATAAAAGCAGAAATGAAACGAAAAATACGACAGGAAGACGAAGATGTAAAGGAAGAACGAGTAACAGAGAGGCTCGCATACATTTACGACCACGTTACAACCATACGCATTTCCCACATGATTAAAAGAAAATGCTTTTTCATGCGACATTTCTCATCGTAGGCACACACAGAAACGATTAGAGCAAATTCGTTCATTTTCATTGGCAAGTAATCAACGCATGCCACCATTCGACTTGTCCTGTAGACCGTAGGAGCTACAACGCCCCTTGTAATGTTACTGCCACTCCATTACTTGAATCGAGATGCCAACGACACGTGTATATCATCTAGCATGCGTGGCAAGGAATTATAATGCACAGCATAGTTTCGTACGTGCGCTCATTCCTTCGAATCGACTTAACTTCATATAGTTGATAACTGGTATCACGTGTCCATACACAAGTAACGCAGGGTTCCAGATCATCATCGCATCAACGATACCTCGATACTCGTTTCATACAGTCGTTTGCACGAACCGTGACCTATTATTTACACGATTTAATACGATAAACCAGAAGAAACGAGAACTTCATTTTTACAGACACAAGGTATGAAACGGTATCGAGACGTAAGTAGTACAATTGCGCTGCACGTTGCAATGCGTATGTACGATACATATTTAAAAAGAATATTTTACATTATCAGTGTGTCTGTTCTTTTCATAGAATTATTCGCCTGGACACCGTACCGGTATCGCTTCACGAGACCTTAATCGCTTGCCACGTTCCAGAGTTACGATACCGCTTGCCCAGCAGCAGCCATTAAGATCGATAAAATAATAAAGAGCGCGCGAGTACTCGTCGTTTTGCCGAATAATGTGAGTTAAACGATGGCGAGAAAGAACACCTCACTGGCAACGACCGGACCTCTCTATGCGCTATTCGACATTATGTAATTTAGTTTAGTTTAATGTAATTTTATTAATTTACTTTCATTAATATTTCATTTCTCTGATTTCCAGCGTGTAGAAGCATACATATACGTACATCTATACGTGTGTATTTTTGCTATGTACGTATGTCCTGTGTGTCTGTATGTATGTACGTATACATTTTAGGATACCCGCTTACACGTAATTAGATGTACCAACGATTGAATTAACTTTCGTTGATGAAATTTCGTGCACCAGTTTCATGACTAAATCTGGTGAACGATCCTCTTCTTTGTTGTACCCTATCACGTAGAAGGTACTTCACCGTTGGTACGACGCATGAAAAAGAAACGACGTCGGTGTAAAATAAATTGGTGGTATGTTCGTTGTAATTTTAAACGCATACATATATCGTTACTGTTTCGTGTAATATCATTATATGAATGGTGTATGCCTTGATTGAAAGTACAGGAACAAGAGAGAAAGAGGAGACGAAGAGAATCAGAGGAATTGTAATTGAAAAGCAGGAAGGAAGCAAAGAGAGAGTGTAAAGAAGAGAGGAGGTGTAAGAGCGAGCGTGTGAGTGAGAGAGAGAAAGGTGAAAAATAAGAGGTAAACTAACTGTAAAATTACTTAATGTGGGATCAAAAAAAATGAAAAAAAAAAAAAGAATCTATCGACTGACAATCAAAAGAATACGTTATAAATGCAAATATATATTTACACGCACACATTAGTTGCGTAAACATTGTTTCTCTGACCGGCATTACAAGTATCAGTAAATCACATGTCCAAGAACTGCTTTTTTTCGGAAAGTATTTTTACTAATTCTTTACTAAGAGTTTATTCGCCGCTATAATAAATAAACAATTGAACGTATTGCTGTAAAGCGGCCGAATAAGCATAAAACTGTCCAGTTACCTACTACAGAATACGTGTGCATATGTACCATATACATACATCCATTCAATTGTAAGTTACGTAAACAGATATAACATTAATTTTCTGTGTATCTGTTAATAAACGTACAAATGTAAACAAGAATGTTCATTAATTATTTCGTTTGCAACTTTTTCTTTAAACTTTTAACAATGTTTATTTGTACGATAATTATTGGAAAAAAAGTTGGAAATGGAGGTGGACTCGGAAGAGAATAGAGAAGGTAACGTATTCGGTTGTCATAGAAACTTACGTACAAGCCTATATTATTTAAAATGGATAGGTTACAAGTATTGGGTATCGAAGAAACATCTTTCTTCGAGTGATACATTGTATTGACGTACAGTGCTTTCGATTCGATTTAGATTTGGCATCGTTCAAAGAAGAAACCAGGTATCTGAAACATTCAAGGAACGTAAAGTAGTCGACAAGCAAAATATACCATAGGAGAAATACTACAAATACAGTCATGAAATGTAGCAAGAAGAAATCGGTTTCAAAAACGTACAAGTACCTATTGCTTTCTCAGAAAAGAGAAGAATTTCGAATGCATCTTCTTAACGTTATAAAAGAAAAGAAGAGAAAGGAAACGATGCGTGCTAAAAGGAAAAAATGTGTACAGAGAATGGAAGAAGAAGATGATGATGATGATGATGAAGAAGAGATAAAAGATTTTGTTACGAAAAACGACAGGGATATATTGCGGTATTATTATTATTTAACACAAGGGATCGATGACGATTACGTGGGATCAATGGGCACTGATCTTTTGGAAAACATCTTGAGTGTTATACCTATTAAATGGCGGCAAAAGTTTAAGGAATGTTTGAATGATTTAGTGAAGGAAGTAAAAGAAGAATATGTATTAAGCATAAAAAAGTCTGTCATAGAATTTGTTATCGGAAATTCTCTGTACTCTTTGCTAAATCAGGTACGTTTCAATGGATCATTTTTAAATTTGAGGATTGAAGAATGGAAGAATAGTGAAAAAAAGATGAGAACTCAAAAGAAATTTTATGATTTTCAGCTAGTCGCACTAGAGAAAAGTAAAACAATTGGAGAGATGCAACTTCCAACAGATCATGCGGTTAATTATCAATGGAATATAACAAAACTCGAAAGAATAAGTACACTTTATCGTCCCGTCATGCGACGAATTTTCGATTGTTGTTACCGAGAGTTCAGGTTGGTTTTATATAATCGAGAAAATTACGATTGTTAATATCAAACTTCCTTTTTCTTTTAACGTATTCTCCTGAAACGTTGATCGTTGGTGTAACAACAGCGATCTTAAGCTCTTGGATGAAAGTGAATTAGCAGCATATGGTGAGTCCTATGGGTTGGAAAATTTCGAAAGAACCGTCTTACGAATGTGTCACAGGGTGAAGGAAAATCTCTCAAAGAACTGGTTGCCAAAAATTCAGACCATTTTATCCGTGGTACGAATCAAAAAACACAAATTATCTTTATATTATTCGAAACAGTTTACTTATAGTATTTTTAGGCGTTTGAAAGAAACGAATTGCCGTCGATGAGTAATTCGGTAAAATGTCGAAGATTTTTTAATTGCATCGCTCTTATCATGGAAAGTCAATTACGAAGACTTTATATACAGACATTGGATGATTACATAGATTACCTTTGTAACAAAAACGTGAGTTACTCTTTTGAGCGAGTGATCAAAAGGCGAGAAGTATAACGTTGAAATAAGAAGGAATTATTATCGTTTATAGGGTACATGCCATGGTTTTGACATAAAAGTGACGGTAAGACACGCGATTGTCTTGTTCGATCCCCCGTTTAATACATTCGTTGAAACGTTATCGACGATTATGAATTCAATGCAAGAGGCTGTTGCCGGACTACCACGAGTTGAGACATTACTATCAAACATCAGTTGTATCGGTTCCGATGAAAAATTACTCCAGGTAAAAGTATCGGATAAACGTTTGGAACGATGCGCCGACGAAATCGAGAAGCTGATCGGTGAAGAAAAAATCGGAGCTACAGAGCAGCTACAAGAATTTGAAAAATACGAGAATTTAATATACGGTGACGAAAATGAAAAGATCACCGATTTTATAAATTCAACAGATACGGTTGAACATTTCGAACGTTATCAGAATCTGATCGAGCATTATTATCGTTTGTATAGACGAATAAAAGTGGAGTTTCCACGAACCAGTTTCCATGGACTTTTTGTAGTGCACCGAGGGGAGTTAATCGGGCACATCCTTGCAA